TTCCCCCCCTGCCCCATTGGTACCTGCCCAAGAGGTCGTCCTGGTCCGGGTCCTTGTCAAAGAGCTCCACCTCCAGCTCCTGCCCCGGCACCTCGTGCACCACAAACTGGGGGGGGGGTCCCCACAGCATCAGTGGGGGTCTCTGGGCACCCCATAACCATGCCCAGGGCAGTGGGGGTATGGGGGCTATGGGGATATGGGGGTTATGGGGGCGCTATGGGGGCTATGGGGTTATTGGGCTATGTGGGCTATGGGGTGCTATGGGGGCAATGGGGGAATATGAGGGCTATGGGGGCTATGGGGATATGGGGGTTATGGGACTATGGGGGGATATGGGGGCAATGGGGGGATATGGGGTCTATGGGGTGGCTATGGGGTTATAGGGGCCATGGGGGCTATGGGGCCCTATGGGGGTTATGGGGGCTATGGGGCACTGGGGGCAATGGGGTTCTGGGGGCAATGGGGGCTCTGGGGGCAATGGGGGCTATGGGGGCAATGGGCACTATGGGGCTATGGGGCTCTGGAGCCCCATAGGGGCTCTGGCTCTATGGGGCTCTATGGGGCTCTATGGGGCTCTGGAGCTATGGGGCTCTGGCTCTATGGGGCTCTGGGGGGCTCTATGGGGCTCTATGGGGCAATGGGGGCTCTATGGGGCTCTGTGTCCATGGGGCTCTATGGGGCTCTGTGTCCATGGGGCTCTATGGGGATGCTCTATGGGGCTCTATGGGGCTCTATGGGGCTCTATGGGGCTCTATGGGGCTCTATGGGGCTCTGTGGGGGCCCTGACCTCGTGGAGCTCGTCCCAGGTCGGGTCCAGGTCGCTCCGCACCACGCGGCTCCGCGCCCCCTGCGTCCCCACGCGCAGCTCCGCGTACGGGTCCGAGCGCGCCTCCAGGAGCCCCCCCAGGAACCGGTCCTTGGAGCGCAGCCCCCGCGCGCAGCGGAGGTGAACGCGCAGCGCCCCCTGCGGGCAGCGGCGTGAACCGGGGGGGGCGGCGGGAGGGGAGGGGGGGAAACAGATACAGGGAGGGATGGAGGGATACAGGGATGGGATACAGGGATGGGATACAGGGATGGATGCAGGGATGGATGCAGGGAGGGATGGAGGGATGGATGGAGGGATACAAGGAGGGAGATAGGGATGGGATACAGGGAAGAAAACAGGGAGGGAGACAGGGATGGGATACAAGGATACAGGGAGGGATACAGGAATGGATGGAGAGATACAGGAAGGGATGCAGGCAGGGAAACGGATGGAATACAGGGATGGGATTGAGGGATGAAACAGGGATGAATGGAGGGATACAGGGAGGGATACAGGGAAGGAAACAGGGCTGGATGCAGGGATGGATGCGGGGCTGGATGCAGGGATGGGTACAGGGATGGATGCAGGGATGGATGCAGGGATGGATGCAGGGATGGGTACAGGGATGGATGCAGGGATGGGTACAGGGATGGGTACAGGGATGCAGGGATGGATGCGGGGCTGGCTCAGGCCCTCACCCTCGGCACCGGGTTCCGCAGCTCGGCCGCCTCGGGCAGGTCGGGCACCAGCGGCACCAGGAGCCGGTTGGGCAGCACCAGGTAGGAGGCGATGGCGTCCATGAGCATCGAGTCCGACACCGAGCTGGGGGGGGCACAGTCATGGCGGGGGGGGCACGGCCGGACCGAACCATCCCAGTGCACGGGGGGGGGGGGCTCACCTGAGACCAGGGATGTCGAGCAGGTTCGTCATCCCCGTCCAGTTGATGTCCAAGGTCTGGAGGGGGGGGGACCACACATGGGGTTAAAGGGGGGGGACACCCCATTTGGAGCCTGTTTTAAAGGGGGGGCACTCACCGGGCGCCGGATGAAGAACATGGAAAGAGCCCCCACAATGGGCGCATCCCCAAGGAGCGGCTCCAGGATGATCCGCAGCGTCCCATGGAGCTGGGGGGGGGGCAGTGGTGAGAGGGCCCCCCCATGGCTGTGACCCCATCCCATGGCCCCCCCCCCATCCTCACCTGCATCCCCTTGACCCCCGCCTTGCAGAAGAACTTCTTCACCTCCACGTCAATGCAGACGTCCCCCACGTAGCTGGGAGGGAGGGGAGGTGGGGGGGGGAAATGGGGGGAAATGGGGTACCCGGACCCCCCCCCCAAAAACCATGGCGGGGGGATGCTCACCTGATGTTGAGATCCAAGAGGATTTGCTTCCTATGGGCACCGGGATGAGCGCGGATCCCCAGGACACGGAGGGGCTGTGGGGGAGAGGGGGGGGTGAGAAGGGGATGGGGGGTCCATGGGGTGTCCATAAGGGGGGGTCCATGGGGGGGGTCCATGGGGGGGTCCATAGGGCCAGGTCCATGAGCCATGTCCAGGGGGGTCCATGGGGATGCCCATGGGGGGGCCTTGGGAGGTCCATGGAGGGGTCCATGGGGTACCCATAGGGAGGGGTCCATGGGGTGCCCATTGGGGGGGCCATGGGGGGTCTATGGGGGGGTCCATGGGGGGGGTTGAAGGTGTACCCATAGGGAGTGTCCACTGGGGGGTCCATGGGGGGTCTATGGGGGGGTCCATGGGAGGGTCCAAGGGGTACCCATAGGGAATGCCCACTTCGGGGGTCCTGGGGGGGTCCCCACCTTCTCGCCCATGTCCACCCTGGTGAAGGTGAAGCTCTGCAGGTGGGGGCTGGAGGCCCTGATGGCCGGAGCCACCTGCGCCAGCAGCAGCTTCTCCATGAACTGCCCGAAGAACGGCCAGGCCTGGGCCAGCACCTGCGGGACACCGGGGATACAGGGATAGAGGGATATGGGTACAGGGTACAGGGATACAGGGATAGAGGGATAGGGGTACAGGGTACAGGGATGGATACAGGATACAGGGGTACGGGTACAGGGATAGAGATATGGGTACAGGGATACAAGGATACAGGTACAGGGATAGAGGGATACAGGGATAGAGGGGTACAGGGATACAGGTACAGGGATAGAGGGATATGGGTACAGGGATGGATACAGGGATGGATACAGGGATGGATACAGAGATGGATACAGGGATGGATACAGGATACAGAGATGGATACAAAGATGGATACAGGATACAGAGATGGATACAAAGATGGATACAGGACACAGGGATGGATACAGGGATACAAGGATGGATACAGGATAAAGAGATGGATACAGAGATGGATACAGGACACAGGGATGGATGCAGGGATACAAGTATGGATACAGGATACAGAGATGGTTACAGGGATGGATACAGGATACAGGGATGGATACAGGGATGGACGCGGGGACGGAAGCAGGAAGCGATGCCCAGGCCAGGGCCTCACCTTGTTGAGCCATTCTGCTCTCTCCACGTCCGGGAAGCTGATCTGGGGGGCACGGGCAGCGGGGTCACCCCGGGGCCGCTGCTTCCGGTGCCGGTACCGGGGGGTGGGAACGGTCCTGACACCGCCCCCCCCCCCCGACTCCCCCCATCCCCGTGCGCGGCCCCGTTGCTCACCCAGGCCGGGAGCTCCCCATTGCTGAGCCCGAGCCGCTTGGCGGCGGCGCGCACCGCGGCCTCCTCGTCCCGCTGCAGGCGCGCGGCCGCGCGCATCCCGCGCTCCCGGGCGCGCCGCCGCCGCCGCCAGCCCGCGTAGAGCGCGAGCGCGAGCAGCAGCGCGGCCGCGCCCAGCCCCAGCAGCCCCGCCGCGTACGCGGGCAGCGCCCACAGCAGCCGCCGGCCCAGCGCGCCCAGCGCCGCCCGCCCCGCGCCCCGCGCCTCCATCGCCGCCACGGCTCCGCCCATTGGCTGCGGCGCGCCCCGGGGCAACGCCGATTGGCTCCGTGCCCCGCGGGGCGGAAAGCGCCGATTGGCTGCGGAGCGCCCCGAGGCTATTGGGCACGCGCGCCGAACCGGATGGCCCCCATTGGCTGCGCCACGCCCGGTCACTATTGGTTCTGCTCCCGGGAAAGGACAGCGCCGCCTTGCGCTCATTGGGTGCATCACAGCCTGCTCCCATTGGCTCCTTGCGTCGCAGCGGATGGCACCCATTGGTTGAGGCGCACCCTGCGGCTATTGGGCACGCGCGCCGAACCGGATGGCCCCCATTGGCTGCGCCACGCCCGGTGATGATTGGCTTCGGTGCCAGCACAGGATGGCGCCGCCTTGCGCTCATTGGCTCCACCACAGGCTACTCCCATTGGCTTCTTCACCCCACACCAGATGGCGCCCATTGGCTGCGCCACGCCCTGTGGGTATTGGCTCTGCTCCCACCACAGGACGGCGGCGCCTTGCGCTCATTGGATGCACCACAGCCTGCTCCCATTGGTTCCTTGTCGCACAGCGAACGACACCCATTGGCTGCGGCACGCCCCGGGCTATTGGGCACATGCTCCGTGCCAGATGACGCCCATTGGCTGCGCCCCGCCTGGCGGCTATTGGCTCTGCTCCCGGCACAGGACGGCGCCGCCTTGCGCTCACTGGGTGCAACACCGCCTGCTCCCATTGGCTCCTTGCTGCGCAACGGATGGCACGCATTGGCTGCGCCACGTCCAGAGCCTATTGGCTCCGCAGGCCTCAACAGACCGCGCCCGCCCTGAGCCCATTGGTTGCACAGCGCCCTTCGCCTATTGGCCCAGTGCTCCGTAGTGGACAGCGCCCATTGGCCGCACCACACCCCGCTCCCATTGGCTGCCCCGCCCACTGTGGGGGCGGAGCCTACGGATGGGGGCGTGGCCGGGGCCGGTCACGTGCAGCACCGCGCTGTTTCCCCCTCCCTCCCGACGCCCCCGGTACCGATCGCTCTCCGGTCACTCTCGGTTCATTTAATGGCTGCGAACGTTACAGGCCTCGGGGCCGCCCCCCCCGCACCGGGACCAGGCCCCGGCACCAGAGGTGGGGGGGGGGGGCAGTGTCCAAGCACAAGGCTCCGGGGGGGGGGGTTAAAACAGAGCCCCAAGCCCCCCCCACACCTTACCCCAGTCCCAGCCCGGGCTGTTCCAAAGCACCCCCGGAGGGGGGGGGCATCAATGGGGCATGGCCGTGATGCGCATGCTCTGCGAGGCGATGGGGTAGGTGACCATGGGGGTGGTGGCGTGGCTCATGGTGATGCCCCCCAAGGGCTGCGCCATGGACACGGCCACTGGCGCCACCGAGACGGCCACGGGCGCCATGGAGACGGGGGGGGCCATGCCCTGGGCGATGGTTTGAGCCAGGGCGGCCGAGAGCGGCGCGATGTCGGGGTTGAGCGGGGGGGGCGCGGCGGTGGCCGGCGGAGCCGCCTGCGCCCCGGCCGGAGCCACCAGCTCCTGTTGGGCCACGGCGCGGGGCTGCAGGGCCTGGCTGCTGAGCGTGGTGTGGGTCTGCGCCATGCCCGGGTTGAAGCTGGGCACGGTGCCCACGGCGGGGGCCAGAGTCTGCTCGGTGGCGGCGGCGGCGGCGGCGGCGCTGGAGCTCAGCGTCATCACCTTGGCCTGGTTGCGGAACTGCGCGTTCTGCTCCAGCAGCACCTCGTTGGTGGCCAGGAGGTTGCTCACCTGCTTCTTGAGCTCCTCCACCCGCTTGCGGAGCAGCGCGTTCTCCTCCTCCAGCAGCCGCTGCTCCACCGTGGGGCCGCCGGTGCCGAAGTCGAAGGCTTCGAAGTGGAGGCCGTCGCCGCGGCGCCGCTTGAGCAAGGGCTCGTGCTCGGCCTCGTAGAGCCCCTCGAAGGCCTCGTAGCGCCGGGCGCCCGGCTCGAAGTCGCGCTGCAGGTGCTGGAACTTGCACTTGGCCCCGCGCTGGCAGTCGCCCTTGAGGAAGTCCCTGCAGATGGGCACCTCCTCCTTGCTGTTGGGGAGGTCGGCGGGGGAGAGGCCCAGCCCCGCGGCCACTTTGTGGCGTAGGCGCGGGGGGAGCTCGCCCGTCTTCTTGTAGGAGTCCTCGTCCTCCTTGGAGCCGTGGATGAAGCGGCAGCTGAGCCGCACACACTCCTTGTTCTGGAAGTCGTGGCAGAAAATGAACTCGTTCTTGCGCACGCCCAGGTTCGTCACCTCGCTCATGTCCGGGTGCCGGAACCGGCACCGCTTGCCCCGCTTGCACACGTTGCGCAGGAAGTCCCGGCAGATGTCATCGTCCGGGCTCCCCCCCCCGCCGCCGCCGCCGCCGCCGCCGCCGCAGAGGCCCCCTCCTCCGACACCGCCGCCGGCTTCGTCCCCGCTGCCGCCCGAGGGGAACCCGTCCCGGTCCGGCATCGCGGCGCTCCGGGCACTGCGGGACGGACGGAGCGCGGTCAGGGTCCCCTCCCGGCCACCGTACCCCCGCCGCCGGGTCTCCATAGCGACCGCACCCCCCTCCCCTTCCGGTTTTGTACCTCACCCCCCACAAACCCTCCCTCTTCCTCCTCCTCCTCCCTCCGGTCCCGTCCCGGTCCCGGTCTCGGCCTCACCCGCCCGCGGGTCCGCCAGCGCCAACAATGAGCGGCCCCGTTGCGGCCGCTCTGCGCCGGGCAGGAAGTGCTCTATGGTGCTTCCGGGGCGGTGCGGAAGGGGGACGCGCGGCGATTGGCGGCGCGCAGTGACGTCATAAGCGTGCGACGACGCCGGCAAGCGCGGGCGCTCCCTGCTCGTTACCGGATGTACCCACATTGACTCCAACGGTGCCGTGAGTCCCGTTCACTGCCCCTCTCCCGGTACCGGAGCACCCTCCCGCTACGGGGCGTCCCCACAACCCCGCCGCCGTTACCGGAGCCCGGCCCCGTACCGGATGTCCCCCCATTATCTCCGCCGTTACCCTAAGTCCCTTCACTGCCTTCCCTGTTACCTGACAGCCCCGTCGCCGTCAAGGCACGTCCCAAACTCCCTCCGCCGTTACCGGAGCCCTGTCCCGTTACCGTACCCCCGGCCATTACCGGAGCTGCCGCCGTTATCTCAAGTCCCAGCACTGCCGTTACCGGAGCTCCTCCCCGGTTACCGGACGTGCCCCCATTACCGACAGCGGTAAGTCCCATCGCTGCCTTTCCCATTACGGAAGCCCCCTCCCGTTACCGGACGTTCCAACACCGCCCCCCCCGTTCCCGTAGCCCCGCTCCTGCTCCCCGCCGCAGGAACCACACGCTCGCTGTCACCACCAGCTTTATTCACAGCACAACGGCAGCCGCACGGCCCCGAGCGCACCGGAGGCCCCGGGCCGGGCCCTGCTCCGCGGCCGTTACTTGGATCTCTGCCTCATCTTCCTCCGCTTGCGCTTCAGCCTGGGGTGGGGGGGGGAGCGCTCAGCACCGGCACCGACCCGGGAGGGGGGAACCCGCGGCGGCGGCCGCGGCCTCCCCCGTTCCCCGGCGGGGCGGGACCGGGGACCCCCGGCATGGGACGGGACGGGTCTCTACGTACCTGCGCATGCGCTTCTTGCGCCACTGCGGGAGCAGAGAGAGGCGCTCGTTAGTGACCGCTATCGCGACAGTGACTCTGATCGCGACAGGAACCCCGCCCGGACACACACATACCCCCCCACCCCCTCCCCACATCCCCAGTGTACCGGTAACGCGCTCCCGATGCACCGGCACCCCCCACACACACCCCCCGCAGCTGTCAGCCCATCTCTGCACCCCGCTCCCGCCGAGGCCCGGTCGGTGATGGAGCCGCCCCCCCTGTACCGCCCCCAGGGCCGGCGGAGCCGCCATCGGCCGCGCCCCCCCCGCTCACCTTGGCCCTCATGGCGGGGTGGAGACGCCGCGCTCAGTCCCGGCGGCCGGGCGGCGGCGGGGCCGGCGGATGGCGGCGGATGGCGGCAGATGGCAACGAGCACCCCGCAAGATGGCGGCAGCAGCAGCCGAGAGGCCTTTGCTTCGCGATGGGGCCTATTTATAGTGTGGGAACGTGGCCACGCCCCCTCCCCGTGTCGCGGGGCACGACGGGAGTTGTAGTCCGTACGCCCCGGGGTATCACGGGAGTTGTAGTCCGCCTCCCCCCGCCGCCATTTTGCGGCGCGCTGGGGGTGAGATCCCCCCCACCCCCCCCAGCCCCATAGAGCCCCATGGAGCCGCTCCTGTGGTCCCAGCATTCCCGTTGGGAATGACGGGGATTGGTTCTTCCCCCTTATGGTCATGGTTAATCCTATATCCATCCCCAGGAGCAGGCATGGAAAACCCATGGAAACCTCATGGGAATCCATGAAACCTCATGGGAAGTGCATGGAAAACTCATGGGAAGTCCATGGAAAACCCATAGAAAACTCAAGGGAAATGCATGGAAAACCCATAGAAAACTCATGGGAAATGCATGGAAAACCCATAGAAAACTCATGGGCACTCCATGGAAATGCCATGGGAAATGCATGGAAAACTCATGGAAAATGCATGGAAAACTCATGGAAAACCCATGAAACCCGCATGGAAACCCGCACCAGAGCGCCATCGTTCATTCGCTTTTATTGACTTTGGTTCAGATTTGCACGTCTGGAATTTGGGATGGAATCCGTAGCGACGAGGAGCGGACGGACGGAGCCCGGGAATGCTGTGTGCCCCCCCCCCCCCCATAGATCGGGATAACCGGAACCGGAATTCAGCTTTGTCCCTGGGGCTTTTTTCTCCTTTTTTCCGGGTTTTCTGTAAAAAAACGCTATAAAAGAGCACTTCCCCCTCCAATTCCCATGGGAAGCACGGAAACCCCCCCGGGAATCCCTGACAAAGGAGCCCGCCACAGCCGAGGAGTAGAAAACCAGTGTTTATAGGGGAAAACCGAGGCTTCCGAAGGCTTGGATCCCAAAGTGAGGAGCGGGATAAAGGCACCCCCCCCCATTCCTCCCTTGGGGATGGGGCAGCTCCCATGGGATGAGGGGACACAGAGCGGCTGCAGAGGGGTTTTATTACGCTTGCCGGGCTCGGAGCACCCCTGCCCTGGAAGCACCGGGATCCCCCCCCCCCCCACTCCTGCCTTGGCTCCTAAGGGACAAGCAGGGCTTGGGGGGGGCCGTGGGGCTCGGTGGGGCGGGCGCTGCTCAATCCCCCGGTTCCGGTTCCGGTTCCGGCTCCTCCGCTGCCTCCCCCGTGGTGGCGTTCTCGGCATTCCTGGAGGCCTGCGGGGAGAAGGGAGCGGGTGGGGAATGGTCGAAGGGTGGGGATGGGGAACCCTTCCCATAAGGGTACTAGGGATGGGGAACCCGTTCCATAAGGATGGGGATGGGGAACCCTTCCTATAGGGATAGAGATGGGGAATCCCTTCCTATAGGGATAGGGATGGGGAATGCCCTAAGGGTGGGAATGGGGAACCCTTTCCGTAAGGATAGGGATGGGGAATCCCTTCCTATAAGGATAGAGATGGGGAACCCTTTCCATCAGGATAGGGATGGGAAACCCTTCCCGTAAGGGGAAGGATGAGGAATCCCTTCCCGTAAGGATGGGGATGGGGAACCCTTTCCATAAGGACAGGGATGGGGAATCCCTTCCTATAAGGGGAAGGATGGGGAACCCTTCCCATAATGTTAAGGATGGGAACTCCCATAAGGATAGGGATGAGGAGCCCTTCCCATAAGGATGGGGAATCCCTTCCCGTAATGTTAAGGATGGGAACTCCCATAAGAACAGTGATGGGGCACCCATCCCATAAGGATGGGGAATCCCTTCCCACAAGGACAGGGCTGAGGAGCCCTTCCCAGAAGGATGCTCCTGTATCCCAGCTGGCGGAGCCGATGCTCTGAACCCCCCCGGCTCCATACGGAGCATCCATGGATCCCATCGCCTTCCCAAGCCCATCCCTGGCAGCGCCCCCAGGGCTGGGTAACCGGAGCCATCCCCGCCCATGGCCGGAGCTGTGGGATCCTTCCCAGCCCCTCCCATGCTTCCAGGAAGCGGGAATCCTGCCCCCCCCCCCGTTACCTTCTTCTTCTTCTTCTTCTGGGTCTTGCGGCTGGCGGAGCTCTGGAGCAGGGCCTGGGCAGGGAAGGGAATGGAAGGAGCCAGGAAAGCCAAGCCCCGGCTGGAAGCAGGGGAGCCTCTGGGGCGGCTCCTTAGGGAGCCACTGGGAACGTTCCAGGGGTGCTGGAGAGCAGGGATAGGACAAGGGGGGGGGGGATGGATTCCAACTGGAACTGGGGGAACTGGGCCCACTGGGATGGGCTGAACGGAGCCGGTTTGGCTGCAGCAGCTCCTTATGGAGCCATTGGGAATGTTCCAGGGATGCTGGAGAGCAGGGATAGGACAAGGGGGGGGATGGATTCCAACTGGAACTGGGGGAACTGGGACACTGGGATGGGCTGAACGGAGCCGGTTTGGCTGCAGCAGCTCCTTATGGAGCCATTGGGAATGTTCCAGGGATGCTGGAGAGCAGGGATAGGACAAGGGGGGGGATGGATTCCAACTGGAACTGGGGGAACTGGGCCCACTGGGATGGGCTGAACGGAACCGGTTTGGCTGCATCGGAGCCATTCCGATGGGATTGGGGCCGCCTCTGAGCTCCTTCCCAACCCCATTCCCGGGCGCTCAGCACCCACCTTGAGCTCAGCATCCTGCACCTCGAAGGTGGATCTGTAGAGGTCGGGCTCGAAGGGGCCCCCCGTTATCCGCATGGGACCGTTGGGCATCAGGAGCACCGTGAACTTGAACTGCGCCACGAACTCCCCTGGGAGAGCGGGAATGGGGTCGGCGTTCCCATGGGATGGGGTCGGCATTCCCAAGGGATGGGGTCGGCGTTCCCAAGGGATGGGGATGGCGCTCCCAAGGGATGGGGTCGGCGTTCCCAAGGGATGGGGATGGCGTTCCCAAGGGATGGGGTCGGCATTCCCAAGGGATGGGGACGGCGTTCCCAAGGGATGGGGTCAGCATTCCCAAGGGATGGGGACGGAGTTCCCAAGGGATGGGGATGGCGTTCCCATGGGATGGGGTCGGCATTCCCAAGGGGTGGGGACGGCGTTCCCAAGGGATGGGGTCGGCATTCCCAAGGGATGGGGACGGAGTTCCCAAGGGATGGGGTCGGCGTTCCCATGGGATGGGGATGGCGTTCCCAAGGGATGGGGTCGGCGTTCCCAAGGGATGGGGTCGGCGTTCCCAAGGGATGGGGACGGCGTTCCCAAGGGATGGGGTCGGCGTTCCCAAGGGATGGGGTCGGCATTCCCATGGGATGGGGTCGGCGTTCCCAAGGGATGGGGTCGGCGCTCCCAAGGGATGGGGTCGGCGCTCCCAAGGGATGGGGATGGCGTTCCCAAGGGATGGGGTCGGCGTTCCCAAGGGATGGGGATGGCGTTCCCAAGGGATGGGGATGGCGTTCCCAAGGGATGGGGTCGGCGTTCCCAAGGGATGGGGACGGCGTTCCCAACATTCCCAATAACAAACAGCCCTAAGCGCCCATTGTGTTGGAAGCAAGGAGCATCCCCCCCAGGGTGCTGCTCATCCACAATGGGGTCAGCACTGCAGTTATCCATAGGGATGAATCCCAAGGGCTGGAATGGGGCGCTCACCTTCCTTCTCATAGAGGACATTGAAGGGCTGGAGCAGCTCGTGCTTGGCGCATTCCACCACTCCCATCCTGGCTTTCTTCTCATCCTCAAAGGCCCTGGGAAGCGGAGGGAGCTCAGCCCCTTCCCAAGCCACAGCCCGGGGATCCCATAGGGAAGCCTCCGGAGAGGGGGTTAAGGTGGAGCAGAGCCCATTGAGGGCCTGTTTGAGGCCATCCCTTACAGCGTGGTCTGGAACGGCCTCATCCCTCCCTCTGCTCCAATGGGAACCAATTCCCAGCTCCCAGGGAGGCAGCAGGATGGGACCAGGAAAGGAGCAGGAAGGGACCAGGAAGGGACCAAGGAAGGACGAGGAAGGGACTGGGAAGGGAGCAGGGATGGACTGGGAAGCACTGGGAAGGGACCAGGAAGGGACTAAGGAAGGACCAGGAAGGGACTGGGAAGCACTGGGAAGGGACCAGGAAGGGATCAAGGAAGGACCAGGAAGGGACTGGGAAGCACCAGGAAGGGAGCAGGGATGGACTGGGAAGCACTGGAAAGGGACCAGGAAGGGACCAAGGAAGGACCAGGAAGGGACTGGGAAGCACCAGGAAGGGAGCAGGAAGGGACAAGGAAGGGACTGGGAAGGGAGCAGGAAGGCACTAGGAAGGGAGCAGGAAGGGAGCAGGGATGGACTGGGAAGCACTGGGAAGGGAGCAGGGATGGACTGGGAAGCACTGGGAAGGCACCAGGAAGGGAGCAGGAAGGGAGCAGGGAGGGACTGGGAAGCACTGGGAAGGGAGCAGGGAAGCACTGAGAAGGGAGCAGGAAGGGAGCAGAAAGGGACCAGTAAGGCACTGGGAGGGACTGGGAAGCGGCAGGGGGAGCGGCGGGCACCTGAGGGTGAAGGGCATGGTGTCGAAGCGCCGCTCCACCTCGCTGAAGAAGGCACGGGAGGTTTTCATCTTGAGGCCGTACTGCTTGCCCGGGTCCCGTTTGTAGATGGTCGTCCTCTGCCCCGCGTCCTTGGCCTGCGGGGGGGGGGGGGTGATTCCCAAGGCCGGGAGCGGGCAGGAAGGGCAGGGACGGGCCCCGGGCCCCGCGCCCCGCGCTCACCTTCCCCTCCCCGCTGCTGACGAGGACGTCGACGGCGTAAACCTCATGGACCTCGAATTCCGCCTTTTCATGGTCCTTCCTGCGCGGGGGACAGGGGATGGGGGTGAGGGGAGGGGAAACAGGGAAAGGATGGGGAAACACCCGAAAAGATGTGAAAAAACATGCAAAAGGATGAGGAAAACACCCCAAAAGATGGGGAAAACACGCAAAAGAATAGGAAAAACACCCAAAGGATGGGGAAAACACCCCAAAAATTGGAAAAACACACAAAAGGATGGAGAAAACACGCAAAAGATGGGGAAAACACCCAAAAAGATGGGAAAAACATGCAAAAAGATGGGAAAAACACCCAAAGGATGAGGAAGACACCCAAAGGACGGGGAAAACACCCGAAAAGATGGGGAAAACACACAAAAGGATGGGGAAAACATGCAAAAGGATGGGGAAAACACCCGGAAAGATGGGGAAAACACACAAAAGGATGGGAAAAAGACCCAAAGGACAGGGAGAACACCCAACGAATGGGGAAAACACCCAAAAGAATTGGAAGAACACACAAAAAGATGGGAAAAACACCCAAAGGATGGGGAAGACACCCAAAAGATGGGAAAAACATGCAACAAGATGGGAAAAGCACCCAAAGGATGGGGAAAACACCCAAAGGATGAGGAAGACACCCAAAGGATGGGGAAAACACCTAAAGAATGGGGAAAACATGCAAAAGGATGGGGAAAACACCCCAAAAAATTGGAAAACCACACGAAATGGGGACAACACCCAAAAGATGGGGAAAACACCCAAAAAGATGGGTAAAACATGCAAAAGGATGGGAAAAAAACCCAAAAGGATGGGGAAAACACCCAAAGGATAGGAAAAAACACCCCAAAAAATTGGAAAAACACCCAACAGATGGGGAAAACACCCAAAGGATGGGGAAAACACCCAAAAAGACAGGTAAAACATGCAAAAGGATGGGGAAAACACCCAAAGGACGGGAAAAACACCCAAAAGGATGGCAGGAAGCCATGAAAGGATGGGAAGAGCACCCCAAATCCCCTCCACAGCCACAGGGCATCACCCAAGGGCCTGGGAGCAGTGGGGCTGTTGGGATGCGCCCCTGCCCATGGACCCCATGGGATCAGAGCTGTGGAATGCCATGGATGGCATCAGTGCAGTGGGTTCAGTGCCAGGGCTCCGGCTCCGAGCATCCCTTGGGGCTGGCAGCTTCCAGGAAGCTGGAGAGGAACCAGGAGCGTTCCAAGGGGCAGGGATGGGGAGGAGCATTCCAGAGGCCTGGATCCCCGCTGCATCCCCCCCTTTGGTGCTCACTTCTGCTGGTCTGTGGGGTTCTGGATGATGGTTTTCTCGCCGTCGATGACGTGCTGCTTCAGCTGGTGGGACAGCATCCCTGGCACGAGAGGAGCCCCAGCGCCCGTCAGCAGCCGCTGCCCAAGGGAACGGCCCCGCACCGGGAATGCCAACGGGATGCATTGGGATGCAACGGGAATGCCAATGGGTGAACCCAGTGCCCACGGAGGGCTGGGGTCCATGGGTGATTCCCCATCTCCTCCAATGCACAAGAACCCGGAAAGCACTAAACACCCCCCCCCGCCCATATTGGAATACTGGGGTGTTCCAAGAAGGAATTTTATGGGATTGAAAGGAATCCCCCCCAGAATGGAGCCACTGGGGCTGCAAGAAGCGATGGCAGCAGGGAGGAGCCTGTGCCAAGTGCCAGGCTCAGCTCCAGCCTGCCCTGGTCCTGATCCCATCGGGATACTCCTCCGTGTGCTTCCCGATGGGAATGGGATCTCACCTTCAATGGGGGTGCAGTGAAACGAGTGGGCTATTTTGTTCCAGGCCTCCGTCACTTGTGTGTTCTGCAGGAAAGACACAGGAAAACCATCCGGGATGGGGAGGGATGGGATGGGATGGGATGAAGGGAGGCGGTTGGGATGCTCCATCCCTGGCTGTGCTGGGTACCACTCACACCCTATGGGGGGGGATCCCTGCCATGATCCCAAGCCTCTTCCCAACCCACCCCATGGCTCCATCCCTGTACCTGGTTCCCAGGCTTCACCAAGCGCAGCGCGGCCTCGGCGCACAGATGGGCTGCTTTGATGACGTCGGCTTTCCGGCCGGACACGGGCTTCTCCTATGGGATAGGGAGCGGGATTCAGGAGCCCCAACACAAGGAGCAAGGAGGGGGGGACTCAGATCCCATTGGGATTGGGAGCTGGGAGGCTGCTCCCAGTGGATGGGAGCAGAGGAAGTGGTGGCAGGGATGGAGCGGACTGGGAATACCGAAGGCAGGGATGGAGCAGGCAGGGATGGAACAGGCTGGGATGGAGCAGGCTGGGATGGGAGCAGGCAGGGATGGAGCAGGCTGGGATGGAATGGGCTGGGATGGAGCAGGCAGGGATGGGAGCAGGCAGGGATGGAACAGGCAGGGATGGAGCAGGCAGGGATGGGAGCAGGCAGGGATGGAACAGGCAGGGATGGGAGCAGGCTGGGATGGAGCAGGCAGGGATGGAACAGGCAGGGATGGAGCAGGCAGGGATGGGAGCAGGCAGGGATGGAACAGGCAGGGATGGGAGCAGGCTGGGATGGAGCAGGCAGGGATGGAGCAGGCAGGGATGGAACAGGCAGGGATGGAGCAGGCAGGGATGGAGCAGGCAGGGATGGAGCAGGCAGGGATGGAGCAGGCAGGGATGGAGCAGGCTGGGATGGAGCAGGCTGGGATGGAGCAGGCAGGGATGGAACAGGCAGGGATGGAGCAGGCAGGGATGGGAGCAGGCAGGGATGGAACAGGCAGGGATGGGAGCAGGCTGGGATGGAGCAGGCAGGGATGGAGCAGGCTGGGATGGAGCAGGCAGGGATGGAACAGGCAGGGATGGAACAGGCAGGGATGGAACAGGCAGGGATGGAGCAGGCAGGGATGGAACAGGCAGGGATGGAGCAGGCTGGGATGGAGCAGGCAGGGATGGAGCAGGCTGGGATGGAGCAGGCAGGGATGGAGCAGGCAGGGATGGAACAGGCAGGGATGGAGCAGGCAGGGATGGAACAGGCAGGGATGGAGCAGGCAGGGATGGAACAGGCTGGGATGGAACGGGCAGGGATGGAACAGGCTGGGATGGAGCAGGCAGGGATGGGAGCAGGCAGGGATGGAGCAGGCTGGGATGGAGCAGGCAGGGATGGAGCAGGCAGGGATGGAACAGGCTGGGATGGAACAGGCTGGGATGGAATGGGCTGGGAATGCCTCAGGCAGGGATGGGAGCAGGCAGGGATGGAGCAGCCTGGGAATGCTGCAGGCAGGGATGGAGCAGGCAGGGATGGAGCAGGCAGGGATGGAGCAGGCAGGGATGGAACGGGCAGGGATGGAACGGGCAGGGATGGAACGGGCAGGGATGGAACGGGCAGGGATGGAACGGGCAGGGATGGAACGGGCAGGGATGGAGCAGCCTGGGAATGCTGCAGGCAGGGATGGAGCAGGCAGGGATGGAGCAGGCAGGGATGGAGCAGGCAGGGATGGAGCAGGCTGGGATGGAGCAGGCAGGGATGGAACAGGCTGGGATGGAACAGGCTGGGAATGCCTCAGGCAGGGATGGGAGCAGCCCCCCCCGCCCACCTTGGAGGCCTCGATGACGAAGCTGTGCGCCACGTTGGCGATGAAGCCGTCCACGTGCACCCCCAGGTCCCTGCAACACCAAGAGGGGATGGGGATGGGGTCAGGCTGCTCCGGGCTGATTCCCACTGGGAACGGTGGCGCTGGTCCCGGCGCGGGCGCTCACACTTTGACCAGGTCCCCGTCCTTGAGGGTGTAGTCCTGGTCGCTCTTGAGCGGGGAGAAGTGGCAGACGCAGTTGTTGACCGAGACGCTGGTGGGGAAGGCGATGCCTGCGGGCGGGAACGGGGCTCCCATCAGTTCCTGCCGCAGGGAATGGGGCAGCAGGGAGGGAGGGGAGCCCCCTCCAGGGCCTTGCTGTGGGCACGGAGCTCGGCTCCCAGCCAGGGATGGGGCATCCAAGGGTGCTCGTTCCCTTCTCTTGGCTGGGGTTGGGAACAGCAACGGGGGAGCCCAATGAGCCCTTGCGCTGCTCCCGACCCACCCCAACAGCAACCAGCACCGACAGAAGGGGACGAGGCCAGAATTCCCCTTGGAAAAGGTAAATTCCCCATTGGGAAAGCCAAATTTCCATTGGGAAAGCCAAATAATTCCTGTTGGAAAAGCCGAATTCCCACTGGGAAAGCTTAATTCCCGTTGGGAAAGCCAAACTCCCACTGGAAAAGCCAAATTCCCATTGAAGAGCCAAATTCCCATTGGAAAAGCCTAATAATTCCTGTTGGAAAAGCCAAATTCCCGTTCAGAAAGCCAAATTCCCATTGGGAAAGCCTAATTGCCATTGGGAAAGCCAAATTCCCACTGGAAAAGCCAAATTCCCATTGAAGAGCCAAATTCCCATTGGAAAAGCCAAATTCCAACCATTGGAAAAGCCAAATTCCCATTGGGAGAGCCAAAGTCCCACCATTGGAAAAGCCACACTCCCATTGGGAAAGCCAAATTCCCATTGGAAAAGCCAAATTCCCACCATTGGAAAAGCCGAATTCCCACTGGCAAAGCCAAATAATTCCCATTGGGAAAAGCCAAATTCCCACCATTGGAAAAGCCAAGTTCCCATTGGGAAAGCCAAATTCCCACCATTGGGAAAGCCAAATTCCCGTTGGGAAAAGCTGAATTCCATTGGGAAAAGCCGAATTCCCATAGGGAAACCCTCACCTTTCTTCATGTCCTTCTCCTTCTTGAAGATCTTGCCGGTCTCCTCCATGATCATGGAATCTCCCTTCTCGCACAGGCCCAGCACCGAGGCGCCCGCGCTGGCCGCATCCAGCACCGCCCGCAGGACCCCTGGAGCCAGAGAGAGGCACAGAGGGGCTGGAGGCATCCCCGGAACCCCGACACCGTTCCCATTGGATCGCATTGGGGCCGTCAAGCGATGCGGCCGCATTCCCCATGGGGTTGGGAATGGCGCTGGGATGGAGCACAGCAAAGGGAAGGGGGCGGGAGGCTTCCAATGGTGCCCCAGAGCATTCCCAAACCCGGGAATCCCGGCTCCCCCATCCAGCACCTGGGATGGACGGGACCTCAAAGCCCTTCAATGGGGAAGGCCTGGGAACGCTGGGAGGGAGCACTGGGCACTTCCATGGGGCATTCCAAGCCCTTCCCACCCCGCTCCATAGGGATTCAAAGCATTCCAAAGCCACCGCAATTCCATGATTCCCTTCCCGAGCACCAGGAGCCGCTTCCCCCCCCTCCTGTCCCCATTCCAACCCGGTCCAGCCCTTCCCGAAGGGGGGAACGCGCTGCTCCGGAGCCATTCCCATTGGGAAGCGCGCCGGGAGCGGCCAAGTCAGCAGGAATCCATGCGGGACACGCCGGGAGGAGCTCACCCAACCGGTCCCGGCGGCTGTCACCCCGCGGGGGGGGGCGGAACGGGCCCCATGGGGCTCCACCAACGCCTATGGGGGCTATAGGGGGCTATGGGGCTGCCCCACGTGTACCCCCCCTTCATTGGGGTCTATGGGGGGGGTTCAAGGCCCGGAACAAAGCCCCGGCCCCCCCCGGCTCCTCCTCCCGCCGCCGGTGCACGTGGGGCGCGGAGGCCACGTGCGGGCAGCGGCGGCCGAGCGGGGCCTGCGGACACCGGGAACCCCCCCCCCACCTCCGTCCCAGGGGTATCCGGTACAACCGGGCCCTCCCCTCCGCGTGGGCAGCACCGGTTAACGGAGGGGGGGTCCAGGCCTCGCCGCCCGGCCCAGGCCCGCCCCGCTGCCCCCCGGTTCCCGGTGCCGTTCCCCCTCCACCCCGCTCCCGTCCCCACAGGCCCGGTCCCGGCGCGGCCTAGGCCTGGCCCCGCACTCACGGTTGGCGATGTCCCCCCCCATCTTGTACTTGGTCACCACCAGGTCCTCGGCGATCGTCAGCTCGGCCGCCTCCTCCTCGCCCGACATGGCCGGGGCCGCCTCCGCCTCGCTCGCTCGCTCTCCCTCTCTCTCCCCCCCCTCCCTCCCTCCCTCCCTCCCCGGTATCCGCTCCCCCCCCCCCGGTGCCCCCGGTGCCGGGAGCGGAGCCGCCGCTGAGGAGACCCCGGGAGCGCGAGGAGCGCGCGGGTACGGCAGGAGCGCGGGCTCCGCGCGGGGCACGCTGGGAACGCGAGTCCCGCCCTGCCCTGTCCCCTCCACCCCCGGCGGGGACTACAACTCCCGGCAGCCCCCGCGGCCAAGCCGGCTGGACTACGGCTCCCACCGGGCATGGCAAGCTCTCGCGAGATCAAGCGCGGGGGATGCTGGGTAATGTAGTTCAAGAGTGGCTCCGCGGTCCCATCGCACCCCCCCCGTGTTCCCGGTGTGTCCGGTTACCCCCGCCAAGCATCAGCACCACTTCGAGGTCAATTCCTTTGATCTTTATTCACCATTTACAAACAGAACCATCCCGGGGGGCATCCCCCGTTAAAACAACCCAAAAACGGGATCCCCGGGGGAGGCATCCCATGGGACACCCCTCGAGGCGCCCTATGGGGCTGCTTGGGGAGGGGGGGGCACCCCCAAACCTTCCCTCTGCTTCCAACAGGGAATGGGGGAACCTGAGGATGAATCCGGGCTCCGGATCCTGAATCCCACCCGGCATTCCCGCACCTTCGGCTGCCGGGGGGCTCGGGGAGGGTCTGGACCCAAATCCCCCCCCTCATTGCAGTGGATCAGGGCGGCCCAGGTGGGGGTCCGGATCCAAACCCCCCTCATTGCAGTGGGTCAGGGCAGCCGCAAGGGGTTCCGGACTCAAACGCCCCCCATTGCAGTGGGTCAGGGTGGCTCCGGGGGGGTCCGTACCCAAATCTCCCCATTGCAGTGGGTCAGGGCAGCCCCGAGAGGGTCCGGACTCAACCCCCCCCTATTGCAGTGGGTCAGGGTGGAACCGAGGGGGTCCGCACCCAAATCCCCCCCCGACTGCAGTGGGTCAGGGCAGCCCCGAGGGTTCCGGACCCAAACCCCCCCCATTGCACCGGGTCAGGGCATTGGGATGCTGGGGTTGGAGCCGGTACCCAGGAATCCCGGCCGGGATCGGGAGCATCCCGAAGCCGGGGATCCTTCATATCCAATGTAAACAGTCCCGAGGAGGGGGGGGATCGGGGGGGTCCGGTCCCTACGTGCGCTGCGGGTCCGCCTTGGCGAAGAGGCGGCTGTGCCAATAATCGGGGTTATCGAAGGCGCAGTCCGAGGCCTCGAGGCTCCGCAGCGCTTTGCGAGCGGGCGCGGGGGGGCAGCGGCAACCGGGGCAGCGCGGGGCCAGCACCGCCTCCATCTCCTCATAGCCCTGCTCGTCCGGAGCCGTTACCGGAGGAACCGGAGCCGCCGCCGCCGCCTGCCCCGCTCCCGGCCGCATGTCCGTGTAGCCCGAGGTGCGCAGGGAGCGGCTCAGCCGGGGCTGCTTGTTCATGTACTCGTAATCTTCCTCCTCCTCCTCCTCATCCCCATCCTCATCCTCGTCCGGTCCCCGCAGCGGGGCCGGCTCCGCACCCACCTCCATGTACTCGTAACCCAGCTCCTCCAGGGACACCGCCCGCGGCCGCCGGTTCATGTACTCGTACTCCTCGTCCGGTGCCGGTACCGGGGGGTCCGGATCTGAGCGGGATATGGGGAGGGGGGGGGGGGTTAAAACATCCTCATCCTATCCCCATAGACCGGAGCCCGAGGTTGGGGGGGAGCAAAGAGAACGAAGGGGAGCTCAGATCTGCCTTAAAGAGTGAATGGCAGTGGGGGACCCCCCCCCCAACACCTACAGGACCATGGGGGAGGCTGAGCCGGGGTTTGGTCCCATAGGATGGGAGCCCCGACTCCTTGAGGATGGGCGTTCTGAACTGCAATGGGGGGGAGGGGGGCTCCCTGCAGGCCTTTTGGGATCAACATGGGATGGAGCCCCCATAGGATGCGACCTCATTGGATTGAGACCCCCATAGGATGGGACCCCCATAGGATGGGACCCCCATGGGGTTGGGACCCCCATGGGATGGAACCCCCATAGGATGGGACCCCTTTGGGTTGGGACCCCCCACGGGATGGAGCCCCCATAGGATGGGAACATATTGGGTTGGGATCCCCATAGACAGGACCCCCATGGGATGGAACCCTCATAGGAAGGGACCCAAATAGATAGGACACCCATAGGACAGGACACCCATAGGATGTGACCCCATTGGGTTAGGACCCGCATAGACAGGACCCCCATAGGATGGAAACCCCATAGATGGAACCCCCATAGACGGGACCCCCATGGCATGGAACCCTCATAGGAAGGAACCCACATAGGACAGGACCCCCATAGGATGGGACCCCATTGGGACAGGACCCCCATAGGTAGAACCCCATAGATAGAACCCATAGATAGAACCCATAGATAGAACCCCATAGATAGAACCCCATAGATAGAACCCCATAGATAGAACCCTATAGACGGAGCCCCCATAGGCCCTGACCCCCCGTCCCCCCCGCTCACCGCCCCCGGGGCTGACGTAGCCGTTGTTGTCCTCATCGGGGCCGGCCGGGGGGGGGTTCCGGGGCTGGGCCGGGTCCGCGCTGCCCCCCCGGGGGCGCCGGCTCCGCCGCAGGCTCCCGCCCCCCCCCGGCCCCTCCCCCGGCTCCGGCTCGGGCAGGGCCCGGCCCAGGGACCCCCCGCGGCTGCGGCGCTGGGGGCGGCCCCCCCCGGGCTGCGGGAGGGGGGCGCGGGGTCAGCGCGGGGGGCAGCAGAGCCTGGGCCCCGCTCCCCCCGGAGCCAGCGCTTCAGGGGCAACCCCCCGTGCCCCCTATGGCCCCTCCCCCACAGCACCCCATTGCCCCCCCCTTTGCCCCTATTGCCCCCCATGGCCACCCGCTTTGCCCCCCCAGCACCTCACTGTCCCCCCCATTGCCCCCTATGGACACCCCTTTGCCCCCCCACCAGCATCCCATTGCAACCCCTTTGCCCCATTGCCCCCCATGGCCACCTCCGTTGCCCCCCCCCACCCCATTGTACCCCCCAATTGCCCCCTGTCCCAGCACCCCATGGCCACCCAATTTGCCCCCTATGGCCACTTCTTCTCCCCTCCCATCCTAATTCTCCCCATTGCCCCTTATGGCCACCCCCATTGCCCCCCCCATTGCCCCCTATGGCCACTTCTTCTCCTCTACCATCCCACTGCTCCCCCCCCCTTGCCCCCTATGGTCACCCCTTCTCCCCCCCAGCACCCCATTGCTCCCCCCCATTGCCCCCTATGGCCACCCCCATTGCCTCCCCTGGTACCTGGCGGCCGAGGCCGGGCTGGTCCATGGGGATGTACCCGGCGGGGGGGCTGAGCAGGCTCGGGCTCTGTTGGGGGGGATGGGGGGGTGACACCGAGTCCGCAGCCATGGGGCAGCCCCACAGCGGGACCCATAGCGGGGGGGGGGGGGGGTCTCACCCGGGCGCTGCTGCCCCGCGGGCGCTGCGGGGGGGGCCCGGAGCTGAGGCCGAAGGCGGCGCCGAGCTCCCCCCCCCTCTCCTCTTCCTCCTCCTCCTCCTCCTCCTCCTCCTCCTCCGGCCCCAGCGGCTCCGCCTCCTCCAGCTCCTTCTCGCTGAGCGCCGGCGGCTCCGCGGCCCCGCTCTCCTGGAACGGGAACGGGAACGGGGACGGGAACGGGGACGGGACGGGGACGGGAACGGGAGGGGAACGGAACGGGAACGGGGACGGGGACGGGACGGGGACGGGACGGGGACGGGAACGGGGACGGGAACGGGGACGGGGACGGGAACGGGGACGGGAACGGGACGGGGACGGGACGGGAACGGGAACGGGGACGGGGACGGGAGCTGGAACGGGAACGGGAACGGGAACGGGAGCGGGAACGGGAGCGGGAACGGGAACGGGAGCGGGGACGGGAACGGGAACGGGGACGGGAACGGGACGGGGACGGGGACGGGGACGGGACGGGGACGGGGATGGGAACGGGGACGGGGATGGGGACGGGGACGGGGATGGGGACGGGAACAGGGACGGGGAACGGGACAGGGGGGGACGGGAACGGGGACGGGACGGGGATGGGAACGAGGGGGGTGTCAGCGGCTGCGGGCACCGGGAGCGGGGGGGGGGGCACCGGGGGGTTCCGGGGTCCGGGCTCACCTTGATCACGAGGTAGCGGGGGGGGTCCCGCGCCATGCGCGTGAACTCGTTCGCCAGCTCCTTGAAGGTGGGGCGGATGTTCTCATCGATCATCCAGCCTGCGGGGAGCCCGGGTGGGGACGGGGACAGAACCTCACTGTGGGGCTGGGACAGAGCCTGCTATGGGGCTGGGATGGAGCCCGGTGTGGGGATGGGGACAGAACCTCACTGTGGGGCTGGGACAGAGCCCGATGTGGGGCTGGGGACAGGACCTCACTGTGGGGCTGGGACAGAGCCCGGTGTGGGGCTGGGGACAGGACCTCACTGTGGGGCTGGGACAGAGCCTGCTATGGGGCTGGGATGGAGCCCAGTGTGGGGCTGGGGACAGGACCTCGCTATGGGGCTGGGAGAGAGCCCAGTGTAGGGCTGGGATGGAGCCCGGTGTGGGGCTGGGACAGAGCCCGATGTGGGGCTGGGACAGAGCCTGCGGTGGAGCTGGGAAAGAGCCCGATGTGGGGCTGGGGACAGAACCTCACTGTGGGGCTGGGTCAGAACCTGGTGTGGGGCTGGGACAGAGCCCACTATGGGGCTGGGGACAGGACCTCACTGTGGGGCTGGGACAGAGCCCACTATGGGGATGGGGGCGGGACCTCACTGTGGGGCTGGGACAGAGCCTATGTGGGGTGCGGATGGGACCTCACTATGGGGCTGGGCTGGGACAGAGCCCGCGGTGGGGCTGGGGACGGAGCCCACTGCAGGATGGGGACAGGACCTCACTGTGGGGCTGGGGATGGGAGCCTGCTATGGGGCCAGGCTGTGGCCGTGGCTATGGGGCTGGGGCCGGGAGCCCGCTGTGGGGCCGGGGCACTCACACTTCACCATGACCATGTAGACATCGATGGTGCAGATGTGGGGCTGCGAGAGCCGCTCGCCCTTCTCGAGCAGATCGGGCACCTCGGCCAGGCGGATCCCGGCGTAGGGCTCGGCACCGAAGGTCATCATCTCCCACAGCGTCACCCCTATGGGGCAGCGCCCGTCAGCCCCATAGCGCTGGGGAGGGGATATGGGGGGGGGATATGGGGGGGATGTGGGGCTGTGCTCACCGTAGCTCCAGACGTCGCTCTGGTGCGTGTACTTGCCAAAGTGGATGCTCTCCAGAGCCATCCATTTAATGGGGGTCTGTGGGGAGAATGGGGATGTGGAGGGGGGCACCCATGGGTGATGGAAGGGACAAAGGGAACCCATGGGTGATGGAGGGGACAAAGGGAACCCATGGGTGATGGAGGGGACAAAGGGAACCCATGGGTGATGGAGGGGACAAAGGGAACCCATGGGTGACGGAGGGGACAAAGGGACCCCATGGGTGATGGAGGGGACAAAGGGAACCCATGGGTGATGCAGGAAGGGATGCAGGGGGTACGGAGGGGATGCAGGGGGTACAAAGCGGATGCAACACAGCCAAGAGGGGGCGCAGGACGTGTGGGGCGCCCCATAGCACAGACTGGGGGGGGTCCGGGTCCCACCTTGACCTCATTGTAGAAATACTTCTTGTCGTCGGGGTAGAGCAGGTCGGCGATGCCGAAATCGGCCACTTGGGCCTGGCTGGGGGACTTGAGCAGGACGTTGCGGGCGGCCAGGTTGCGGTGAACCATGCGATGCTCCTCCAGGTAATACATCCCCTGCGTGCGGTTGTTACCAGGGCAACGGGGGGGGGGACCCCACTTTGGTACCCTCGGGGGGGGGGGGGCACTGACCTTGGCCACCTGCACGCACCAGTTGAGCAGCAGCTGGGGGCTGAGGCTGCCCCGGTGCTTGCGCACGTACTCGAGCAGGGAGCCCAGCGGCAGGAGCTGCGTCACGAGCTGCAGGCGCGGGCCCGGGCACAGCCCCAGCAGCCGCACGATGTAGGCATGGTCCAGGCTGCCGATGGCCAGCATGTGCTGGGGGGGGCACACACACACATACAGGGGGTCAATGCAGCCCCGATGCACCACATCCATAGGGATCCATGGGGAGCACTCACGTCGGTGACGGCGTGGAAGGACTGCTGCCCGCTCCAGTCCTGGATCACCTTGATGCTCACCGGGATCTTGATGGAGTCGCCATCAGGGATCCAGATGCCCTTTGGGGTGGGCACTGTGGTGAGGGATGCTCCGGGTGCTGGCTGGGCCCCCCCCACCCCATAGAGCAGCCCTCACCTTGTGCACGGTGCCGAACACGCCGGAGCCCAGCACCTTGAGGCGCTTCAGCTCCGACTCCTTGAAGATGCGGGCCAGAACCTTGTTGGCTTTTTCACTGGGGTCCAGCGGCTCCAGGCTCTGGGGGTGGAGGTGGGATTGGGGTGGGGGTGGAGGAGGATGGGGGTGGAGGGGATGGGGATGGAAGGGATGGGGATGGGAGTGGATGGGGATGGAGGGGATGAGGACGCAGGGGTGGGGATGGAGCAGGATGTGGATGGGAGCGGATGGGGATGGAGTGGATGGGAATGGAGCAGGATGGGGATGGGAGCGGATAGGGACAAAGATGATGGGGATGCAGGGGATGGGGATGGAGGTGATGGGGATGGAGCAGGATGGGGATGCAGGCGACAGGGATAGAGGTGATGGGGATGAAGGTGATGGGGATGAAAGTGATGGGGATGGAGGTGATGGGGATGGAGGTGATGGGGATGCAGGTGATGGGGATGCAGGGGATGGGGATGGAGGTGATGGGGTGCAGGTGATGGGGTGCAGGTAACCGGGTGCAGGGGATGGGGATGCAGGTGATGGGGTGCAGGTAACCGGGTGCAGGTGATGGGGACCCCCCTGACCTCGCCCCTCTCCAGGTACCGCCTCATCGCCCTCTTCTTCTGGATCTTCTTCCCGCGCAGGTAGAGCAGCGCCAGGAGGACGCAGGAGCAGAGGAGGAAGAGGCCCCCGACCACCGTCACCGCGATCACCGTCGGTGCCTTCCTGCGCGGGCCGGGACCGGGGCCGGGGCCGGGGCTCAGCTCCTGCCCCTTCCCGCAGCCCCGTGCACTGCAATGGAGCCCCGCACCCCCCCGCGGTACCTGGACACGGGCAGAGCCTCCCCGAGGCAGTCCCGCAGCAGCGGCCCCAGGCACCTGCAGGGATGGAGATGGGGGGGATGCAGGAGGAGGGGGGGGGCGCGGACCCCGGGGTACCCCCCCCCCAACCCCCCCCCGCACCCACCCGCGGGTGCAGTTCTCGTGGCAGGGCCGGCACTCGCGGGCCCCATCCGGGTACTTGTAGATGGGGCCGCGCTCCCCGAGGACGCCGTCGGGGCAGGCCTCGACGCAGTGGGGGCCGTCCCGGTACCGGGCGCAGCGGGTGCAGGTGTCGGCGCCCTGCGGGGGGCGCACGAGGATGCGGCAGCAGGCACCGGCGCCGCGCCCCCACCCCGACCCGAGCCCGGCCCGACCCCACCCTTCCGAGCCCCTTCCGAGCCCCTTCCGAGCCCGTTCCGAGCCCATCCCGGGCTCATCCCGACCCCATCCCGAGCCTCTCGCATCCCAACCCGAGCCCGTCCTGAGCCCGTTCCCAGCCCCTCCCGGTCCCATCCCGATCCCGTCCCGATCCCATCACAAGCCTGTCCCAGTCCCATCCCGAGCCCGTTCCGACGCCATCCCCATCTCATCCCGAGACCGCCCCGAGCCCATCCCGGGCTCATCCCGAGCCTCTCGCATCCCGTCCCGATCCCATCACAAGTCTGTCCCAATCCCATCCCGAGCCTGTCCCGATCCCATCCCGACACCGTCCCAAGCCCATTCCGAGCCCAACCCGGGCTCATCCCGAGCCTGTCACATCCCGTCCCGATCCCATCCCAAGCCCGTCCCTTCCCGTCCCGTGCCCATCCCAAGCCCTTTCCGAGCCCATCCCGAGCCCATCCTGAGCCCCTACTGGTCCCATCCCGATCCCGTCCCAATCCCGTTCCGAGCCCATCCCAAGCCCATCCCAAGCCCGTCCATCCCGTCCTGAGCCCACCCCGAGCCCGTTTCGAGCCCATCCTGAGCCCCTCCCGGTCCCATCCCGATCCCATCCTCATCCCGATCCCATCCCGAGCCCGCCCCGTCCGTACCGAGCCGTTGCAGGTGACGTTGCCCTCGATGCGCTCGCACTGGGGGTGGCACTCGAAGCACTCCCCCCCCTGCGCGAACTCCCGCGTTTCCCTGCGGGGGACAAGGGGGGGGTCAATGGAGCCCCGCGGCACCGCCCCCCCCCGGCACCGCCCCCGGCTCACCCCTGCGTGAAGCGGCAGGAGGGGACGCAGACCCCGCGGCGGCTGAAGTGGCGGCAGGAGAGGCACTGAGCGGGGCCGGGGCCCCAGCAGCCCTCGTTGGAGCAGAGCGGGTCACAGACCTTGCCCTCTTGCTCTGCGGGCAGCCCCGGGCCGGGGGGACAGGGTCAGGCCCTGCATTCCCCATTGCCCATCCCTGCATCCCCATCACTGGTCCCCTTCTCCCTGCATCCCCATCACCCCCTGTCCCTGCATCCCCATCACTGGTCCCCTTCTCCCTGCATCCCCCATCACCCATCCCTGCATCCCCATCACTGGTCCCCTTCTCCTTGCATCCCCATCATCGCCCATCCCTGCATCCCCATCACTGGTCCCCTTCTTCCTGCATCCCCATCACTGGTCCCCTTCTCCCTGCATCCCCATCACTGGTCCCCTTCTCCCTGCATCCCCATCACTGGTCCCCGTCTCCTTGGATCCCCGTCATCGCCCATCCCTGCATCCCCATCACTGGTCCCCTTCTCCCTGCATCCCCATCACTTCCCATCCCTGGTCCCCCTGTCCCTGCATCCCCATCCCTGGTGTCCCTGTCCCTGCATCCCCATCACTGGTGCCCCTGTCCCTGCACCCCCATCCCCGGTGCCCCCTCCCTGCATCCCCATCACGTCCTGTTCCTCCATCCCCATCCCCGGTCCCCCCATCCCTGCATCCCCATGACCTCCAGTCCCTTCTCCCCATCACCTCCTGTCCCTCCATCCCCATCCCAGTGTCCCTGTCCCTGCATCCCCATCACCTCTTGTCCCTGCATCCCCATCCCAGTGTCCCTGTCCCTGCATCCCCATCACCTCCAGTCCCTTCATCCCCATCCCCAGTCCCCCCATCCCTGCATCCCCATCACCTCCAGTCCCTTCTCCCCATCACCTCCAGTCCCTTCTCCCCATGCCCCCCCCGCTGCCCCCACTCACGGCACTTGCTGCGGGGTTTGTTGTTGCGGATGTCGAGGTCTGCGCGGCGCCGGCTCAGGGCCGCCCATTGCACCGTGTGCAGGTAGCAGAGCCGCCGGTTCTCGGTGATGTAGACCCTGCCCGCGCTCACCTCCCGCAGCGAGCGCAGCCCCAGCGAGGTCACGTTCTCGTTCTTCATGATCAGCAGCGAGAAACCGCGGCTGCGGGGATGGGGGGGGGCTGCGGCCGGGACCGGGCAGCCCCAAGGCAGGGGGTGCAGGGAGCGGGGTGCGGGGATGGGAGGGGATGGGGGGGAGCGGGGATAGGAGAGGATGGGGGGATGCAGGGACAGAAGGGACCAGGGATGGGGAGTGATGGGGGGGTTACAGGAATGGGGAATGATGGGGAGACACAGGGATAGGAGAGGAAGAGGGGATGCAGGGACAGGGGAGGATGGGGGGATGCAGTGATGAGAGATGATGGGGGACACAGGGATGGGGGGATGCAGGGGCAGTGGGATACAGGGATTGAGGATGATGAGGGGTACACAGGGACAGTGGGATGCAGGGACAGGAGGTGATGTGGATGCAGGGATGGGGAATACTGGGATGGGGGTGCAGGGACAGGGGATGCTGGGGGATACAAGAATGGGGGATGCAGGGACAGGAGATGCTGTGGATGCAGGGATGGGGGATGCAGGGATGGGAGATGATGTGGATGCAGAACAGGAGATGCTGTGGATACAGGGATGGGGAATACAGGGACAGGAAATGCTGGCGATGGAGGACAGGGGATGCTGTGGATGCAGGGATGGGGATGAAGGGGGATACAGTGATGGGGGATACAGGGACAGGGGATGCTGTGGATGCAGGGATGACGGATGCAGGGACGGGAGATGACGTGGATGCAGGACAGGAGATGCTGGGGATGGAGGGATGGAGGATGCAGGGATGGGGGATGCAGGGACAGGAGATGCTGTGGATGCAGGGATGGGGATGATGGGGGATACAGGGATGGGGGATGCAGGGACAGGGGATGCTGTGGATGCAGGACAGGGGCTGCAGGCACACAGGGCACACAGGGAGGTGCCGAAGGGCACCCAGGGCACTGCTCGGCGGGGCCGGGCTCTCACTTGTAGAGGCTCCGTCCGCCGATGGTGACGAGGTTGGAGAAGACGCTGAAGTTGTGCATGTGCTTGGGCCAGGACTGGATGTTCAGGTACCCTGCGGGGGTGCGGGGGGGGTCAGGGGGTCCCGGTGGGGGGGGGGGTGTCCGGGGGCGCCCCCTGCCCGCTCTCACCCGTGATCTCCCGCACGGTGCGGAACACGTTCAGCTTCTCGGGGTCCAGCGCTGAGATGTTGCGCCAGGGATCCCTATGGAGCCGGAGCATCAGTGGGGCCCGGGGATGGGGAAGGGGGGGGCAGCACCCGGACCCCCCCCGCTCACCCCTCGAGGCCGGTGATGAGGAAATCGAGGTTGCCCAGGATCTTGGTGCAGTTTATGAAGGTGTCGATGTTGCTCGAGTCCACGGTTTGGTACCGGCTGCCGGCGCCGGTGCCCTCGCAGGCTGCGGGGGGGGGGCCCCACGATGAGCACCCCATTGGGACCCTCAGCACCCCCAAACCCCGCCCCCCCCATCCCGTACCCTTGGGGCACAGCCCCGAGCAGGGCTCGCACATCTTGAGCCCGTTCTTCTCCACCTCCATCTTGTCGTTGGGGCAGGCGCGGACGCAGGAGCTTTGGTCCACGACGAAGTTGTCTGGGGGAGACCCCAACGTCAGAGGCCCCATCCCCATTGACCCCCATTCCCATTGACCCCCATCCCCATCCCCATTGACCCCCATCCCCATTGATCCCCATCCCCACTGAGCCCCATCCCCATTACCCCCATCCTCATTGCCCCCATGCCCATTGATCCCCATGCCCATTACCCCCATCCCCACTGACCCCCATCCCCACTGACCCCCATCCCCATTGGCCCCCATCCCCATTACCCCATCCCCATTACCCCTATCCCCATTACCCCCATCCCCATTGACCCCCATCCCCATTACCCCATCCCCATTACCCCTATCCCCATCACCCCCATCCCCATTGATCCCTTCCCATCCCCATCCCCATCACCCCCATCCCCATTACCCCCATTCCTATTGATCCCCATCCCCCCCATGCCCATGGCCCCCCGCCCGTTGCCCGCCGGGGCGCAGCTCACGGGGGCAGCTCCGGACGCAGATGCCCCCGTACTGGTACTTGGTGTCGGGGTTGGGCTCCAGCTGGAACGTCAGCTTGTTGTAGATGAGCGGCTGCGGGCAGAGCGGGACGCAGGCGCCGCTGTCGTTGAAGTGCCGGCAGGCCTGGGGGGGGAGGCGGGGATGGAGCCGCGGGGCACGGGGATGGGAGTGGGGAGAGAGGGGCACAGGGGAGGGAGGAGAGGAGAGGAGAGAGGAGCATCGGCCTCTGCAGCTGCACTGGGAGAGGGCAGAGACAGGGATGGAGGGATGCAGGTACAGGGATGGAGGGAGGGATGGATGATGGATGGATGGACACAGGGATGGACACAGGGATGGATGCACGACACAGACACAAGGATGGATGGATGCAGGGATGGATGGAGAGAGGGAGGGATGGATGGATGGAGGACACAGACACAGGGATGGAGGGAGGGATGGATGGAGGGATGGATGGATGGAGGGATGGATGGATGATGGATGGATGGATGGATGGATGATGGACGGATGATGGATGGATGGATGCATGCAGGGATGGATAACAGATGGAGGGATGGATGCAGAACACAGACACAGGGACAGATGGATGGATACAGGGATGGATGGATGCAGGACACAGACACATGGATGGATGAAGGATGGATGGATGGATGGATGCAGGGATGGATGGATGGATAACAGATGGAGGGATGGATGCAGGACACAGACACAAACACAGATGGATGGATGCAGGGATGGATGGGTGGAGGGTGGATGGGTGCAGGGCTGGCTGCAGGGCTGGGTTCCGGGCCGGATGAGCCCCATGGGGCGCACATACGAAGCAGTGGGTCTGCAGGGGCCCCGTGCACCCCCCCGCGCACTCCTCGTGGCAGCACTCGTTGGGCGCGCGCCCGAAGCAGCGCCCGTTGCACTGGGGGGCGCAAATCGTCTTGGTCACTGTGGGGGGGGAGGGGGGGGGTGAGGCTGAGGTCAGCCCCGCCCCCCCCATCCCATCCCCCCCCATCCCCATCCCCCCCCCCCGGTACCCACGTTTCTGGCAGTCCCCAGGGCCCGGTCCCCAGCAGTGGCCGCCGCAGCTCTCGTGGCAGGGGGGGCCTGGGGGGGGGGGCAGAGCGGGGTCACCCCATGGCAGGGGGGGGTCACAGCAGCCCCCCCCCCCCGAGGTGCCCCCCCCACGCACAGGCCTTGCCGTTGTCGCCCACCATGGGCCGGCGCCGCGGGTCCCTCAGGATGTCCTCCCACTGCACCGTGTCCACGTGGCAGAGCTGAGCGTTCTTCTCGATGTAAACCCCCCCCGCCAGGATCTCTGCGGGCAATGGGGGTAATGGGGGGTAATGGGGGCAATGGGGGTAATGGGGGTAATGGGGGCAATGGGGGTAATGGGGGTAATGGGGGTAATGGGGGCAATGGGGGTAATGGGGGCAATGGGGACAATGGGGACCATGGTGGCAAAGGGAGCAATGAGGACCATGGGGGCAATGGGGACCATGGGGGCAATGGGGACCGGGATCGGGACCACAGTATCACCTCCTTGAGGGACGGGGACCACAGCATCGCCTCCCTGAGGGATGGGGACCACAGCATCACCTCCGTGATGGATGGAGGGATGCAGCCCGGTGCGGGCACCAGGATGTGGCTCCCCCTGGGATGGGGACCAGGATGGGGGCAGCAGCATCACCCTAGGCTGGCATCAACAGGGGATGGGGACCGGGATGGGGACTGGGATGGGGACCGCAGCATCACCTCCCTGAGGGATGGGGACCACAGCATCGCCCTGGGCTGGCACCAACAGGGGATGGGGACCGGGATGGGGACCACAGCATCACCTCCTTGAGGGATGGGGACCACAGCATCACCTCCTTGAGGGATGGGGACCACAGCATCACCTCCCTGAGGGATGGGGACTGCAGCATCGCCCTAGGCTGGCACCAACAGGGGATGGGGACCGTGGGGGGGTACAGAGGGCAGCAGCCGGAGCCGGGCGGTTTGGGGGTACCCGTGAGCTGGTTGAGGCCGAGCTGCCGCAGCGCGTGGGTGCTGTTGGGGTTGTAGTTGAGCAGCACGAAGAGCGCAAACTGCTCCTCGTAGAACTGGGTCCCGCGGATCACGCGCAGGTTCCGCAGCGGCAGCGCCGCGAACACGTTCATGGCGATGAGGATGTACCCCGTGACCTCCCGGATGGTCTGAGCGCGGGAGCAGCACCGGGGGTCACATCCTGCACCCCCCCCCATCACTGTGTACCCCCCCGTGACCTCCCGGATGGTCTGAGCGCGGGAGCAGCACCGGGGGGTCACATCCTGCACCCCCCACCCCATCATTGTGTACCCCCCCCTCCATCACCGCACTGGGGGGGTCACATCCTGTACCCCCCCCATCATTGTGTACCCCCCCCCATCACCGCACCGGGGGAGGTCACATCCTGCACCCCCCCACCCCATCATTGTGTACCCCCCACCCTCCATCACCGCACTGGGGGGGGGTCACATCCTGCACCCCGCCATCATTGTGTACCCCCCCTCTCCATCATCGCACCGGGGGGGGTCACATCCTGCACCCCCCACCCCATCATTGTGTACCCCCCCCCCATCACCGCACCGGGGGGGTCACATCCTGCACCCCCCACCCCATCATTGTGTACCCCCCCTCCATCACCGCACTGGGGGGGTCACATCCTGCCCCCCCCATCGTGTGTCCCCCCCCCAGCGCACCTGCAGGAAGGACAGGTCCTGCGTGTGGTCGATGAGGACGATCTCCAGGTTGCCCAGCACCACCTCGCAGTTGTTGTACATCCGCTGCAGGGTCCGGTACTGGTGCTGCGCGTCCCCGGTCACGCTCAGCCCGTTCAGGGTCCCCGCGCACACTGCGGGAACAGCGGCAGCCCCAGCTGCGGACACGGCCCCCCCGTGCTGCCCATGGCCCCCCTGTGCTGCCCATGGCCCCCCATTGATGTCCATGTCCCCCCCCATTGATGTCCATGTGCCCCCATTGATACCCATGTCCCCCCATTGATGTCCATGTCCCCCCTTTGATGTCCATGCCCCCAGTGATGTCCATGTCCCCCCTTTGATGTCCATGTCCCCATTGATGCCATGGTCCCCCCAGATGTCCATGTCACCGCATTGATGTCTATGTCCCTAATGATACCCATGTCCCCACCCTTGATGTCCATGTTCCACCAATGATGTCCATGCCCCTAAAGGTGTCCATGTCCCACCAATGATGTCCATGTCACCCCACGGATGTCCATGTCCCCAATTGACATCCATGTCCCCATTAATGTCCATGTCCTCCATTAATGTCCATGTCCCCATTAACGTCCATGGCCCCCCATTAACGTCCATGTCCCCCCATTAAAGTTCATGTCCCCGTTAATGCCCATGTCCCCATTAACGTCCATGTCCCCAATTGATGTTTATGTCACCCCATTAATGTCCATGTGCCCCCCATTAAAGTTCATGTCCCCGTTAATGCCCATGTCCCCATTAACGTCCATGTCCCCAATTGATGTTTATGTCGCCCCATTAATGTCCATGTGCCCCCCATTAATGCCCATGTCCCCCCTTGATGTCCATGTTCCCCAATTAACACCCATGTCCCCAATTGACGTCCATGTCCCCCCCCGTCCCCGCCCCATCCCCTCCCTCTGCAGCAGCGCCCCCGCCCGGGGCCGCGGGTGCCGCTCCCCGAACCGGCCGGGCGAGCCTTGCGCAAGGCGGGCCCGGCCCCAGCGCCCCCGACGCCGGACTTCGGCCCCGGCCCCGCCTCGGTGCCCGGAGCCGGGGCTGGAGCCGGGGGGGACCCCGGGGCCGTCGGGGGACGGGGGGGGGGGTGCGGACAGAGGCGCTTTGTGCTCGGGGCCCCCTCCCCGCCGCCGCACAAAGGGGCGATTGTGGAGAACGGGGCACGGAGAGGGGGGGGCGCGGAGCCCCCCGGGACCCCCGGGGCACAGCGGGGTGCGGGCCCCCCCCCCCGACGTGAGTCAGGCCCCGGCGGTAAATGGCGGCTTTGTGCGGCCCCAGTGCGGGGGCACGGAAGGGGCCCGAGCCCCCCCCCCTGCAGGGAACGGGCGGCTTCGGGCACGCAGGGGAAGGGGCGAGCCCCCCCCGGGCGCAGCGGCAGCCAAGGGGCTATATAAAGGTCCCAGCTGCGCTCTGGAATGGCCGCAGCCCCGACGGGCCGGGGATGGGCGCTGGTTGGGGGTGGCTTGGAACGAGGCGGGGGGGCCCAGAGGACTCATTTGGGGACCCCCCCAAAGCTGCGGGGGATTGGAGGGGGGGTGGCAGGACCCAGCCCCATGGGACCCCCATGAGCCGTTAACAGCGGCTCAACCGGTCCCGCGGCCACAGCGGGGGTCGGGGAGTGCGGGACGGGTCCTTGGGGTGCGGGTCCGGCCTTTAGGGTGCGGGTCAGGCCCTTGGGGTGCACCTGCCCGCGGGGGGGGGGGGGCTGAGCGCTTCCCCCCCCCCCTTCACCACCCCCCCGCTGCCGTCCCCGCGTTATCAGCGCGGGGCCCCGCTGGCAGCTCCGCAGCCGCCGCTATCGCCCGCGTGCCCCCGGCCCCCGCCGCCAGGAATAGAACCGGGACCGGCGCGGGGGGCCTCGGCCGGGGGGGACCGGGGCTGGGACCGGGGCCGGCCCAAAGCGGGCTCCGAGCGGGGGCAGCGGGGCCGGAATCGCTCCCACCCCCACCCCCCCCCCAACACGGGGTTGGAAACAAACTCGGGGAGCAGCCGCCGCTTCCGGGGTACCCCCGACGGGAACCGAACCCCCCCCCCTGCATGCCGGTGGTGAGGGAAGAGCCGAGCCCCGGCCCCGGTCCCGGTCGCAGCCCGGGGGGGTTCCGCTGGTCCCGGTCCCGGTCCCGGTCCCCACCGGGGCGCGGTTGTAGGGGCAGGATCGCACCCGCTCCTCCCCCCCCCTCCCCGGTGCCGGTGCTCACCTGCCTGCGCGGAGCCGGGCTCGGGGGCGCGGAGCAGCAGCAGCAGCAGCAGCAGCGGCAGGGGCAGGAACCGGAGCCGGAGCCAGCCCCGGTCCCGGTGCCGGGTCCGCTCCATCGCGGCTCGCAGCGGGGCCCCGCGGTCGCGGCGTGCCCGGGCGCGGCGGGGGGAATGCACCTGGCGCGGGGCCGTCGGGGCGGGGCCCCCCCCGGGCAGAGCTGAGCTGAGCGAGGCCCCGCCCCCTGACGGCCCCGCCCCAACCTGGCCCCGCCTCCATCAGGTGCAAACGGTGCCTCTGCACACACCCCCCCCTCCTCATTCCCTGCCATTGTGGGGGGGTCAGGACCCCCCCGCTCTGCCCCATAGCGGCGCATCCCCTCCCCCCGCCCCAAGAACACAGGGCACGGGCTGGGAGCAAAGCTCCTTTATTGATCCCAAAAGCAAGGTTGGGGTCTGGGTCCAGTGGCGGCTCCTCACATGGGCTTCGGGGGGGGCCGGGGGGCTGCACCCTAGAGGGGGGGCACAGAGCGTGAGGCAGGGCTTGGGGGGTGAAACCCCATATCGCCCCATAGGAATAGGTAATGTGTAACGTGTAATATGGAACATGTAAGAGCATGGATGTACAGGGGGTCAGGGAAAGGTATGGGGGGGAATTGGGGGAGGAATTGAGGGAACTGGGGGGGGAATTGGGGGTGAATTTAGGGGGGAATTGGGGGAAGAAATTGGGGGGAATTGGAGGGGGGAATCGTGTGGGAAATTGGGGGGGGAATTGGAGGGGTGAATTGGGGGGTAATTGGGGAAGAATTGGGGGGGAATGAACCCCCATCCCCCTCCATATACATTAAGCACCAACCAGACCTTAGGAGAGGGCTGAACCCCCAATTTCCCCCCCCATATTCACACAGCATCAACGATGCCTTGGGGGGGCAGCCTGAGGGGGGGGGCTCACCCATCCCCATGCAATGGGGGCTCACCCCTCTCACCCCCCCCCCAGCATCAACCAAGCCTTGGGGGGTTCTGAACCCCATTGCCCCCCTGCACCTACAGCGGGGCGGAAGCGGGGCGGGGGGGTCCGGTCCTTGCGCGCCTCCCGCGAGCGGTTCCGCACCACCTTGCTGTGGATGGCGCAGCTCACGCAGTAATGGAGCTTCACGTAGAGCTTGGGCAGCACATAGGCTGTGGGGCGGGGGGGACAGGGGGTCAGCAACACACAGAGCCCCCCCCCTCCTCCCCGGGACTGTGCTGTGGGGCTGGGGACCGGGCTATGAGGCCAGGGACCCATGCTATGGGGCTGGGACCCATGCTATGGGGTTGCGCTCTGGGGCTGGGGACCCCTCTATGAGGCTGGGGACTGCACTATGGGGCTGCTCAATAGGACTGGGGGCCGCACTATGGGGCTAGGGGCCCCTCTATGGGGCTGTGGAGTGCTATGGGGCTGGGGGCCATGCTATGAGGCTGGGGCCATGCTATGGGGCTGGGGAGCAAGCTATGCAGCTGGGGGCCCCTCTATGAGGCCGGGGCCATGCTATGGGGCTGGGGGCCCCTCTATGAAGCCGAGGCCATGCTATGGGGCTGGGTCCCCTCTATGGGGCTGGGGACCACGCTATGGGGTTGCGCTACAGGGCTGGGGGCCCCTCTATGAGGCCAGGACCATGCTACGGGGCTGGGGACTGCACTATGGGGCTGGGGGCCACACTATAGGGCTGGGGCCGGGGCCATGCTATGGGGCTGGGGGCCTCTCTGTGGGCCTGGTGAGCGTTATGGGTTTGGGCCCTCTCTATGGGACTGGGGGCCGCGCTATGGGGCTGGGCCCCCGCTATGGGGCACTCACAGTCGAAGACGCTCGCCTCGGAGATGTCCCTGACGGCCGCCGCCTCCACGATGTTGCGGATGACGAACTTCTTGATGGCCTTGTCCTTGGGCACGCAGCGGGCGCAGTTGGTGCAGCGGATGGGCTGCACGTGCCCGCGGCCCTTCTTGGCGCGCCCGTTGTTCCTGCGCTTCTTCGTCTGCCGGGGGGAACGGGGGGGGGAATGGAGCGGAGCCCCCCCCCCCCCAGCCGGCACCGCCCGCCCCAGAGGAGCCCGGCCGCAGCCCCAGGGCAGGCCCCCAGAGCGGCTCTTCCCAGCATCCCCTGCCCCACACAGGCCCTATGGACCCCAGGTAGGCCTCCCATAGCCCCTATGGACCTCGTATGGACCCCATATAGGCCTGCCATAGCCTCTATGGACCCCATATGGCCCCCATACAGACCCCCACAGCCCCTGTGGACCCCATGTAGGCCCGGCAGCCCTTATAGACCCCGTATAGGCCTCCCATAGCCCCTGTGGACCACATACAGGCCCCCCATAACCCCTACGGACCCCTTATGGACCCCCTATGGACCCCATATGGCCCCCATACAAGCCCTCACAGCCCCTATAGGCCCCACACGCGCCACCGGCCGCGCCGCTCTCACCATGCCGCTCTCTAGGCCCGCGAAAGAGGACCCGGCCGCCGCCCTGCCACCCTTATAAAGGTCTCCCTCCGCCCGGAAGCGGCTCCACCACCGCCCCGGGGCCGCTCCGGCCCCTCAGGACCTCCCCGGGACCCCAGCCCCGACTCGGTACCGCCGTAGCGGCCCCGCCGGAGGGGTCGGGGGGGGAACGGGCCCGAGCGGCGCCCAGGGTGGCGGCGGCGGAGAGGCGAGTCGAGGGACTACTTCTCATCACCGCGGCGGAGGGATCGGAGACACGTTAGTGTGAGCGTCCGTACGTGCTGCGCGTGACGTCATTCCCCCAGCGTTCCGCGGGGGATGCTGGGAGTTGTAGTCCCAAGGGCTCATAGAGACCCCCACTGCCCCCCCCACCACCCCTGGGGTCCCCACCATCATCCTGCCCCCCCCCAGGGCTCTGTGCGCACCCCCAGTGTGTCCCCCCTTTATGAATCGGGTCCAACCCCCCCCATCCCTTACAGGGACCCCCTTAGTGTGTGTGTGCCCCTTGGGGGGGGGTCCCCACTGTGTGTATGTGTCCATTGGGGGGGGTCCCCAATGTGTCCCCCAGTTACCCCTGGGGGACGGGGGCTCAACGCGTCCTGTCCCCATCATCACCCTCGGGGTGTGCATCCCACAATGACCCCTAGGGGGAGCATTCCCCTTCCCATCACCTTTGGGCAGCGGGGGGGGGGTGGTCCCCATTGTGTCCCCTCCCCATCGCTTTGGGGGTGCAGGGGGGGGTCCGTTAAATTACTCGGGTTTATTTATAACAGACCTTCAGCCATTACAGTACAAAACTTACAGTAGATCTCGTTACACAAAGAGGTACTTACAATATCTTACAGGTACAAAAGCTCCTGGGGGGGGGGTCCAAAAGCGCCTGGAACCTCCCAAGCCAAGCCAACAGCAAAGCCATTAACGAGAGACAACCGAAACCCAAGGGAGGGAGCAATGGGATGTAAAGGGAGGGGTGGGGGGGACGACACACGGGGTATTGCACATCATCATCATCATCATCATCATCCTCATCCTCATCCTCCTCAGGGTTTGTTCTTCATCCGTCTGCTTCAAAAATAGACATTTACAGAGTAAAGCGTCTGGAGGTGTACAAAATTCCTAGGGTCGGGATGGGGAACGGAATTCCATAGGGAAAAGGAAGGAAAAGAACAAAACACCCCTGCCACCACCCCCCCCCAAGTAATGAACCAACCCAAAGGTGCTCCAAGTGCAGCGCTTGGTTTGGGTTGGAAAAGCCCCTTTTTGGGGTGGTTTTGGGGGGGGTGGGAAGGGGGGGGCTGAGCCCCAGTGATCCCCCCCCCATATAGAAAGGGGGGGGTTAAATATATATCTAATAATAATAGTAATAATATTAATTAATAGCAAAAGGGGGGGGACAGGGGCAACGGGAGCCGTTGCCGCCGCATTGAGGTGGTTGCGTTGGTACAAAAGGAACAGGCTTTGGTTTCACCCTCAGGAGCCCCCGGGGGGGCTTTTATGCGTCCTGGGCCTGGGGGGGGGGGCTTTGGGATCAGGACCCCCCCCCCAAGGGGGTGGGTATGGATATAAAGTGGGGGGGGGATGCGGGAGGGCACCGGCATCGGTGAGGCCCCCGCTTCATTTTTGGTTCGCGGCTGCTTTCCCCTTTGGATAAGGGACCCCAAAGGGGGGCCTGCACCCCCGCCCCCCCCCAAAGCCATCCCAAAGGATTGAGGATCCAAAGCTCCATGCTGAGGGTGTTGGTACCCCAAAGAGGAGTGACCCTGGAGCACCAGGAGAGCCCCCCCAATCCCTTGGGAATGGCGAGGGGGGGAGGAGGAGGAGGAGGAGATCCCATCTTCCTGCCTTCATTTAAGGGGGGCAATATGGGATCTCATCCCCCCCCCCCCCCAATGCAGGGCTAAGGATGGGGATGGTGCGGGGGGGCTTCAAATCCCATTGGGAATCACCGGGTAAATCCGGCAGCACCGGGAAGTGGGGGGGGGCAGCAGCAGGTCCCCCAGGATAGACTCATTAAAGCTCAGGGTGCAGCGACCCCCCCAAAGCGGGTTAAATGAGGGGGGGGGTCACAGCTGATGGAGGTTTGGGGGGGGTCCCATAGGGGGGGGGGTTAGCACCGAATCTGAGGTTTGACCAAGGAAAGGGCTTGGAGCCGGGATCGGGATCGGGGTCAGGAAGAGCCCCAGTGAATGCGGCTCTGAAAGGGGCGGAAGAGATAGAAAAGAGCAACTCAAGAGCTCAATAAATAACAATGGGAGGGAGGTGTTTTTTGGGGGGGGGGGCCCAAAAAAGTCCATTAATATTTAAATATAAAAAGGCAAATGGTTCCCATCCCCCCCCCCCCGGGGGTGTTTGGGGTGGTTTTGGGAGTGATTTTTTTCTTTTTCCATCGTTGTTTGTTTGTTTTGTAGCCAAAATCAGTGCAAAGGAGTTAAAAAAGAACAACAACAGTTCCATGCCCGAGGGTTGGGGTTGGGGGGGGCTGAGCGAGAGCCAAGGGATGGGGATAACGGGGATGATGGGGATAACGGATTGGGGGGGGGGGTTTAACCAACTTTGTGCTCGCCCCTCACGATGTGGGAGGAGAACTCGTACCGGTCCTGGCTGTGGTAGCCACAGATGTTGCACTCGAAAGGGTCTCTGAAGCCGTGGCAGCCCATGTGGATGGTGAACATGACGTGGTCCAGGAAGAGGATGCGGCAGTGCTCGCACTTGAAGGCCCGGAGCTGCTCCCCATCCTCATTGAGCACCCTCAGGGCTTCTTTGGCAGAGCTCGGGGTGGAGCGGGCGGCCGGGGGCCCCTCCGGCACCTTGGGGTCCTCTTTGGCGTAAGCTGGGCTCTGGCGGCTGCTCCCCGCGGGCCCCTGCGAGCTCCGCTCCTCGTGGTTGCTCTCGGTGTCGCTGGAGTCGGCGCAGCCGTTGGGGGGGGAGCCGCTGTGCTCCCGGCCCCGGTACAGCACCGGCACCGGCACCGCGGCGCCCACGTCCTCGTGGCCCTCGGCCGCCTCCCGGCCCCCCGGCAGCTCGAGCCGGGGCGGCAGCGCCTGGAGCTGGGTGTACACGGAGCTGATGACGGGGGTCACCTCCGAGATGCAGTTTGTGGGGGGCAGGCGGAGGCCGCGGAGGTGCTCCCCCCCCCCCAGCAGGGATAAGGGGGCTCCGTAGGCAGGGTCCAGGGGGTGATGGGCTGGGACCATGTCCACGTCCTTCTCGAAGCCGGGGTTGACGTCGAAGGGGAGGTCCGAGAGGCTGAACCTCATCTGCTTCTCCCCTGTGGAAGCAGAGCGGGGTCACAGCGGGGTTGGGGGGGGGCTGTGGGCTCTCCATCCCCAGCATCACCGCGGTGCTATGGGGTAGGGACACACCCCAAGGGACAAACCCCCCTTTGACCCTCCTCATCCCAATGGGAACCCAATGGGGATGCCCTTACCCACGAACTTCTGCGGCGTGGAGCGTTTCCTCTTGGTGAGGCTGCTGGCCAGGCGGTCGATGAAGCTGGGCCGCTCGGAGGAGGGATGCAGCAGCGCCTCCGGCACCATCTCCAGCTCCCTCATCTCCTCCCCTGGCAACGAGAAGGGAAAAGCCAGGTGAAGGGGGGGTGTTGGACCCCGCAGCCGCTGCTCCTGCCCTCTGCCAGCCGGGATGGACGTGGGGAAAGGCTCCTCTGCTCCAGGCCCAGAGCTTACCCCATGGGTGCCTCGGTCGCGGGGGGGCCGCTCCTCCCTTCTTCCTCGAGCTGCGCCCGCTCCTGCCGCTTTGGGGAAGAGGAGCCGGCTTCAACGCATGCAAGTGCCCCATTCCCGTTATTCCTGGCGGCGCTCAGCCCATCCCATAGGGATGCCGGCCTCCGGAATGGGATTGGGAAGGGGACGGGGACGGGGGTGAGGAGCAGGGAGGCTCCGGCATGGCCAAGCCAAGGGGGCTGCTTGCTGGCACTAAAAGATGCTTCCAAGCCTCTCGGTGCCCTCAGATAAGGAGCAAAGTTTGTGTATGGGGGGGTTCCCATTCAAGGGGGAGTTTTCCATTCGGGAAGCTCTGGGATTCCGCTGCCGGCGCGGGCAGGAAGCAGCGGGGTGCCCATTGCAGAGCTCGGTGCCGTTCCCGAGCCCCAGTGCGTGATGGAGCTCCGGGGCTCCCCCTGTTCCATCGGGAACGCCGATCCCTGTGTGCTCCCCCCCCCCGTACCCCCACTGACCTGCCTGGCTGGGCAGGGCCGGCGGCTCCGGGTGCAGGCTCTGCAGGTAGCTGTGGCACCGCTCCTTGTGCTCCTCCAGCGTGCTCTGCTGCTTGTAGCTGCGCCCGCAGTAGTTGCACTTGTAGGGCTTGCCCACCGTAGGGGAGGAGACTGCAAGGGAGAAAGGCAGAGCCGGGTTGGAAGCACCTGGGAAGGGCTGGAGGGAGGCAATGGGGTGGAGGAGCCAGCGGGAGAAGGGCTGCGGGTGCAGCTGGAGCACTGGGATCCATCAGGATACGGCCCAATCCCCAGTGCCAGGTGACGGAAGAGGTGCAACCCCATTAACACTGATGGAAGAGTGGGGTTTAAGGTGCTTGGCATCCGTTGCAAAGGGCATGGATACAGGGATGCAGGCTCCAAGGGGCCCGTTTTGCTCTTTTCCGGCCCCGTTTTGGGGTGGTTTCCTGCAGGTCGTGGTGTGAATTGGGCGTCCCAGCCCCTGCCCTGTCCATTCCCAGCTCCGGATGCTGATGCCGGTATCCAGGATCCAGGTTAGGAATCGATGCGGAGAAGCCGATGGGAAGGGCGCTGGCCCGGAGCAGTGAGGATCCCTTTGCTCCACCCGCCTCCAAGCAGGATTCCCAGCAGGAATTCACTCCCAGATCCAACCGCTTCCCGAATCCGCACCAATCCCCAGGCTCCAAGCTCTCCCAACGCCTCCGTTCTGCTCCTCCTAAGGCAAGCAGCGGCCCAAAGCCTGTGCCCGTGCATCCCAGAGCTCCCCCAGTGGCTGTGTTAGGATCTGGGATGGTTTTCCAAGCCATGGGGATACCCTGAAGTTATTCCCTTGGGATCCGGTTTGGGATTCAGGGCTCAGTCCTGGTGTGGAGGCTCCGTCTGTGCTTGCAGAGATGGGGGTTACGATGGGAAGGGAGGCTCCATCCTTTGCCATGCGATCCGTGCCTTTTCCTTTCATTCCTTCCTTTGGGAATTCGCTCCCGATGGATTCGGCCCCTCCATCACCCCACAGGAGCTCCCATCCAGATCCATTGAGGATCTCCCCCCCTAAACCAGGAGCCATGGGAAGGATCCCCCCAGGAGAAGCCGTTTCCAACCAAGGGCAGGTGAAGAGGGGCAGCTCCGGGATGGATTCCTCATGGATGGGGCCCCTCTGATCCCGGCCCTGTTTGATGTGAGCGCATCCTGCGAGAGGAAAGCTCCTGCTCCCCATGGGGCTGCGCAGGGAAGGCAGAGCCAGGCCTAACCCAGCCTCTTCCCGCTGCAATCCCCATTAAAGCCAGTAACGAGCTCCCAGAAAAGCTCCTTGTGCTGGGAGATGCTGGGAGGATGCGCCCCACATCCCTGCCTCTCCATGAAGGGCTCCATGAGACCCTTCCCATGCCGGGCATTGGGGGAGACCCAGCTCCGGATGCTCAGCGAGGGGGGAAGCGGTGGCTAAGCCCAAACCCCCCTTGGGAATTGCCCCATTCCCGGCCTGGCTCCCGGGTTCCTCCCCTGGGAAGCCTCAGGTGTGAGCGGGAAGGAGAGGAGCTCCCAAAAGGAAGAGCAAAGCGGGAAGATTGAGGCTGACACCCGGAGCATCGCATCCTCTAACTGGGGCTTTAGGGCAAAGGGGACTTCCAGGCCAGGCTGCAGGGGGGGAGCAGGCTCCTGGGCACCAAGAGGCTCTTCAGGGGCTGGGATTCCTCCTTTGTGGAATCATCCCCGTGTTCCCAAGCATCTGGATGAGCAGGGAGAGGCCCAGAGCGGTGCGGGGATGAAGGGATGCGGTTGCCAACAGGAGCTGGCTTCACTTCAGTGCCCCCCAGGCCCCCATCAGCTCCCATATCCCGGAGCCAGGGGGTGGAAACAGCAGCTCCCAATGTCCCATCCCAGCAAGGACAAGGTCGGAGCCAGAGGGAGCAGAACCCCTCCGGCTGGGACAGGGCGCACCCAAGGGTGGGACCTCCCTGCTCCCCATAAAACCTATTAAACATTGATCTTTATAGGGCAGAGCTACCCCAACCCCGGGAACACGGAGCCCATAAACCAGGCACCAACCCCAGCACAGGGGCAGCTGCTCTTGGCTGGGACCTTGCCTCTGCATCCCTGGCGTTTGGGCCCTGGTTCCGTGCTATCCCCATCCCGGTACCCACCGGAGTGCGTCCGGAGGTGCCCGCTGAGCGCATCCCGCCTCCGACAGGCGTAGTTGCAGAAGGGGCACTTGAAGGGCTTCTCCCCGGAGTGCAGCTTGATGTGGCGCAGGAGGTTCCCCTTCTGGGTGAAGGAGGCTCCGCACTGGTTGCAATGGAAGGGTCTTTCCCCTGGAAAACAGGAGCCAGAGGGGTCAGATTCCTGCTGGGAAGCTGTGCCCATCCGCAGGGATCAGCAGCATCCCCAGCGCCAGCAGCACAGAGGGGGAGCCTGAGGCCAAGGGCACTGGGGCAGCACCGTCTGCTGTGAAGCATCCATGCCCATGGCAGGGGTTGGATCTGGATGAGCCCAAGCTCCTTCCCAGCCCGTTCTTGGGGTCTATGATGTGACCCCCAAGCTGGGGAGGCTGGGACCTGGTGCTGGGGGTTGGACGGTGATGAGGAAACCCCATCTACACACACTTCCATGGACCTTCTCCCATCACCACCACCTCATCCGTGACACCCTCATCTCCTGGGGTGCTGCCAACCATCACCCGGGTAACCACCAACCATCACCCACATATCACCAGCATCCCCAAGGAACATTCAGCATCACACAGGTACCACCAGCATCCCCAAGGTACCACCAGCATCCCCAAGGTACCACCAGCATCATCCAGGTACCACCAGCATCATGCAGGTACCACCAGCATCCCCAAGGAACCATCAGCATCATCCAGGTACCACCAGCATCACCCAGGTACCACCAGCATCACGCAGGTACCACCAGCATCATCCAAGTACCACCAGCATCACGCAGGTACCACCAGCATCATCCAGGTACCACCAGCATCCCCAAGGAACCATCAGCATCATCCAGGTACCACCAGCATCATCCAAGTACCACCAGCATCACCCAGGTACCACCAGCATCACCCAGGTACCACCAGCATCATCCAAGTACCACCAGCACCACCCAGGTACCACCAGCATCATCCAAGTACCACCAGCATCACCCAGGTACCACCAGCATCATCCAAGTACCACCAGCATCCCCAAGGTACCACCAGCATCCCCAAGGAACATTCAGCATCACCCAGGTACCACCAGCACCATCCAGGCACCATCAGCATCACCCAGGTACCCCGAGCATCCCTCAGGCACCCCCCGAGCCCCACTCACCCGTGTGGCTGCGCTTGTGCACCATGAGCACGTTGGGGCCGATGCAGACCATGCCGCAGATGTCACACTTCAACTTGCCATTGGGCAAGCGGATGCCACCGGGGGAATGGGGCTCCTGGCCGGGGCCGTCGCAGTAGCCCAAGGGCTCCGAGAGGGAATCCTCCACGATGACGCTGTCGTCCTTGTCCAGCATCCGCTCGTCGGGGGCCAGCAGGCGGCTGCCCTCCTCGTCGCTGTACATCTCCACCTTGATGGAGCTGGCTGCGGGAGGCACAAGGGATGGGATGTGAGGATGGAGCCCTCGGTGCCGTGGGGGTGGCCTCGAGCATTGAGCATCTTCTCCATCCTAAGTCCTAAAGGGACCGCTGGGATGCGGGTTGGGATTCGGGCTCGCCTGGAGCACACCAGGTCAGGGAGTGGTTGCGCATCCCTGTGGGAAGAGCCCTGCGTTCCCCTGGGTTCAAAGGCACTCGGGAGCCAAGGCTCCGGATTTCCACCCTGTGGAGCAGGGAAGGCTCCAAGAGCCTCCCGCAGGTCTCTGTGATCCCATCTCCATTGCTCCAGGAACCACAGGGAAGGGATGGGAGCCTCGGGGTACCAGGAATCCCAAGGAAGCTCCTGTGGGATGAGGGAAGTGGATGCAGGGACCAATGAGAAGGCAGAGGTGGGAGGAGAGGGATTCCTATGGAGGGAGAAGCGGTGCTGGGACCTCCTCAGCCTTTAAACGATCCAAGTGGGAAGCTTCCTGCTTGAAGCCATTGCCAGGGAATGCCTTGGGGATGCTCCCGGGATGGGGAGCGGCTCCTCCTGGTCCGTGCAGGCCAGAGGAGGATGATGCTGGAGTCCAGTGGGATCCAGGGCACCCGCATGGGGGAGGTTCAGGCTCTTCACAGCTCCCATCCTTGTTTCTCCCATTGGAAGCAGGAGGCTCTTCCCGATCCCTTCGGAGCACGGTGGGCACCGGAGGAACTGCACTTCCCGTCCCAAAGGAGCCGCTTCCAGCCCTGCTGGGGCTCCATTCCTGGGGCTCTTCCGGCTCTCTGGGAGAGCTCCAACACTGGAAAACCCCGGCATTATCCCGGCCTTCAGAAGCTTGGTGGGGATGGGGGGGGCTGAGCTGTTCCCATCGGGATTGATGCTTCCCGGGAGGCTCGGAGGAGGTGGGAGCACTGCAGGCGGCGGCAGCAAGGGGCTCCCAGCGTTGGGAATGCTGAGGGAAGCTCCTGTGCTTCCAATGGAGCAGGGGGGGGGTTAGCGAGGAGCAGCAGCACGGAAGGGGTTCACCCCCCCCTGCAGGGGCTTCATTGCCGGGTGAGGAGCCCAGGAATCCCCTGGCTCCGGGCCTGCCCTTCCTGCATCCCGGGGCACGCAGATGCCTTCCCTAGGAGGCTCCCAGCAACGGGACCCGGCCCTGGCACTCAGAGCCTCTTGGCTGAGCCCTTGGCTGGAGGCTGAAGCATTCCTGTGGGTGGGAGCGGGATGGGACCGGAGCCACCGTGATCCCATGGGAGCATCCAGCGGGAAGCTCCTTGCTCAATGGGGTGATGTTCACTGGGTTAAGGAGGGGGGGGTCTCTTCTCCCGTTCCCTTGGGATGCTTTACCCCAGGGTACAGAGGGGAGCCCCAGCCCTGTTGTGTGGTCCCGCTGCTTGCCCCTGCTGGGCACGGCACCAGTTAAATCCCATGGGAGCATCCCCAGCATCCCCAGTGCTGCAGGGCATCATCATCCTGGGCCGTGTGCTCCGGCTCCCAGCAAGCCCAGAGCTCAGCTCCTGAGTGCTTGGAGAGGGCAAGGAGTAAAAGTGGGGCGAGAAGGGGGCTCGCTTCCAGTAGGGAATGGTTGGGGCTCTTTTATCCCTATGGAAAAGCCTCTCGCTCCGGAAGCAGGAGGGAGGAAACCAGAGCAGGGCTGGTGCCTGCATCAACCCCCCCCAGCCCCGGTGCCATTGATGCCCATGGGCCCGCAGCATCCCCATGCCAAGGGGTTTATCCCGGTGGGAATGCCATGGGAGGGGGGCTGGGACTCACCACTGAGCGAGCGGCTGGGGGACGAGTGCTGGCTGTTGGGGGTGCTCATGGGGGGCCCCACGATGGCCGAGCTGAACTCCTTCTCCAGGGAGGAATCCCCACTGCCTTTGGGAAGAGGGAGACAGCAGTGAGGCCCCAGACGTTCCTTGGGGATGGGGCTGCTGGAACCCACGTTTGCCAGGGGCATCCTGACCCCGCGCTCTGCCCAAGTCCCTTTGCCTATAACAAAGTGAGAATTCCCAAGCAGACCCCTATGGCTCCGGGAACCCAAATCCACCCCATTGAGCCCTCAGTGCCCCACAGCAGCATCTTCTCAATGGCATCCCAGCACCCCATAACCCCATTGAGCCCTCAGCGCCCCACAGCAGCATCTTCTCAATGGGATCCCAACACCCCATAACCCCATTGAGCCCTCAGCGCCCCACAGCAGCATCTTCTCAATGGGACCCCATCGCTCCATTGGGAAGAGGTGTCCAATTCTCTTGGGATCACACTGGGATTGATGGGGACCCTTCCCATGCTTGAGCTCACGGACAGGTTATGGGGCTCATGGAAGAACCAAGCCCCCATGTTACTCTATGGGTTGGGGGGCACATCTTGAGCCCCAACCCCAAAGCGCTGCTGCATGGGGTGGGAGTGCCCCACATCGTGCTCCCCTCCATGGGCATCCCCTATAGCTCAGCCTGGAGCACATGATGCCCAGCGCATCCCCTCCTCATCCTCCCAGCTCCAAGTCATTCCAAGCTCCCCCGCATCCCTGCATCCCATTGGATCCCGCTCCTGGTACCTTGCTGGAGGTAGCCCGGAGCGCTCTCGCAGCCAACCCCTTGGAAGCAGCGCTGGAGCCCCGGCTGCGGGTGCAGGTCGGAGCTGCTGGCAGGGCGCACGCAGCCGCTCACCTTCCAGGAGGAGCAGATCCCTGGAAGCCAGGGGGAAAACAGCGTCAGGTTCCAGGCAGCGGAGCGGGAATGCACCGGGAAGGATGCTGGGCACTGGGGATGCTGTGTGCTGGGAAGGATGCTGGGCACCGGGAAGGATGCTGGGCACCGGGAAGGATGCTGGGCACCGGGAAGGATGCTGCGCACCGGGGATGCTGTGCACTGGGAAGGATGCTGCGCACCGGGAAGGATGCTGCGCACCGGGGATGCTGTGCACTGGGAAGGATGCTGGGCACCGGGAAGGATGCTGGGCACCGGGGATGCTGTGCACCGGGAAGGATGCTGGGCACCGGGAAGGATGCTGGACACCGGGAAGGATGCAGCTGCTCCAACCCCACCATCAGCAAGGGAGAGGGTACCAGGGCTGCTGTGGCCACCAGCAGGGAATGCCGATGGGAAAAGGGGGATTGGATGCTCAACAACCTGGAATGCCGGTGGGAATGAGGATGGGATGTGTGGAGGGAGAGGAGCAGCATCCCCAGTGTCACCCCACTCACTGGGATCCAATCCTTTGGCAGTGGGATAGGGACAGTGGAGGAAAAGCAGCTCACACTGAGCCCCGTCTGGGATACAGGGATGTGTATCCATATGGAATACCACACATGTAAGGACTGACCCCAGTGGCAGCTCCCACCCCACAGCAGGACCAAACCTGGACCCAGGGCTCACTAACAAACCCCAGTGATGCTGAGGGCAGGGAGAACGTGCTCCACATCCCATTCCCAGCTCCTGCCCATTCCCAGCTCCTGCCCATTCCCAGCTCCTGCCCATTCCCAGGTGCCGGAGAAAGGAGCCTCAGGAAGGAGGAAAACCGAGTTCATTTCTCCTTGATCCCTTTCTGCTGCCCTGCTTTCAGCTCCTCGGCGAGCCAGCTTCATCCTCACATCCCAAAGGAGCCCCCTTATCCCATAGGAGCCCCAATCTCAGCACCAAGAGCTGGTCCTTCCCGGAACAGGGAAGAGCTCCCCTGCTCCCATAGACCCCAGGCAGGACCCCCTCAGCCGGGATCGGGATCAGACACTGGGATACCCGGGAAGGTGGGAGCCGAAGCCCATCCCAGTGCTGGGAGCCCCCAGTTTCACACTGGAGATCCCAGGAAATCCTGGGTCACGATTCCTGTGCTCCGCAATTACCACAGGGAACCCCGGCTCTAGCCCAGTTACCCCAGCAGCTCTGCTCTGTGCATCCTCAGGGCCCCATTGCCAGGCCCCAATCCTTACCCTATGGAGGAGCTGATCCCCGCATTCCTGCCCCGATCCCAGGCAGCACCAGGCTCCGATCCCCACGTTCCATAAGGAAAACTCCTGCAACTCTTCCCTCTCCCATCCTTTAACCATTCCCTTCCCTCCCTGGGAAGCTGGATCCCAAAAGGGATTCAGGCCCAGCTGCATGGAGCAGGATCAGGGACATTGGGATCCTCTGGGATCAGAGGGGATCCTTGGGGGAAGGAGGAGCTTTACCAGGGTGATAAGGGGCTCCCAGGCTGCCTGCGCTCATCCCATTGGATCCAATGCACTTCCATAGGGAGCTTCCTCCCTGCTGAGCTGGATTCACTCGAATCCCACTCTTATCCCAAGGTGTTTCCCAGCGCAGAGATAAGAACAAATCCCACCAAAGCACCGGGGCCGGGTTCCTGCAGGACACCAGATAAGCTTCATCCCTATCAGTGTCCCATAGTTCCCTATGGACACCGGGGCTGTGACTGATGCCAGCAGGCTGGTACCCAGGGAAGCTCCATCCATGCATCCATGCATCCATCTCCTGCTCTTCCAAGATCCATGGGTGAGCTCCCAACGACCCCCCAACACCACAAGGGGGGCCTTGGAGCAGCTTCCAAGGGGATAGGAAACCTGGGAAGGGGCTTTGGATACGGGATGGAGGGGCAGGACAAAGGGAATGGCTTCAAGCTGCCAGAGGGGAGACTGGGATGGGATTGGAGGAGGAATCCTCCCTGTGAGGGTGGTGGGACATGGAATGGGGTCAATGGAGAAGGTCTGGATGCTCCATCCCTGTTGTCCCTGTCCCTGCCTCTGGAATTGGATGAGCTTTAAGATCCCTCCATCCCAACGCGTGCCAGGGCTCTGATTCCACCACGGACACAGTGAGGTTGGGACCCCCTCAATGGCAGCAGCCACAGGATGGCTTAATCCCAACGGATGAGCCTGAGCATCCCAAATCCATCAGGATCCCCAAGGAGCCAGCATGACACCTACCAGAGATGTAGGATCGCCCATTGCAGTCTTCGATGTCCATCTTGAAGGGGTTTGGCTGGAAGGGAAAGCAGAGCACGGTCATCTCCTGCCCTCCGGGACACAGGGAATCACCACCGGGAAAGGGGAATGGGCCCAGCTCCCCCCGGGATAAGGCTTTTGTTTGGCTTCAATCCCAAACCAGCCCCGTTTTCCAAGCAGGAATCAAGGAGCACTTGAGGGGTTGGGAACACAGGAGAACACCTAAAAACCAGTGAGGATTTGGGAAGGGAAAACCAACAGGATCCGGAGCCGCAAGAGATGGAGACATCGGGATACAGGCACCGGGATACAGGCACCGGGATGCAGGCACTGGGATGCAGACACCGGGATGCAGAGCCCTCGACCCGCTCCCAATCCACAACCAGAAGGTTCCCCATATCCCAGGCACTGAGGGAATCGAACCAGGATTCAGGAGCTGCATCCTGGAACAGCAGCACCATTCCCTTCCCTTCCCTGCCATCAGAAGGAAAGGGAGCATTCCAGAGTTCCCTTTCCCACCAGGAACTTCATGGGATGAAGTAACTGAGGCTGGAACCAAAGCAGCCCCTCACTGATCCCTATGGAGCAGCCCCGGAGCAGGGCCAAACCCCATCTTCCAGGAGCACATCCCTGTCTCGGGCTGCTCTTCCCAGCTTTCCGGAGCCATCATCCCACTGGGAATGCGGCGCTGGAAGTAGAGCAAAGGGAGTGCCTGAAATGAGGCCTTTTCCCTATGGAAAAGAAATCAAAGGCCTCAGAATTAGCCCAGATGAAGAAAGCTCCATCCCAGTATCCCGGTGGGATGCGACTTGGGAACGTCCTTCGAGCAGGGAGAGGCCGCAGGCGGGAGATGGGAATTCTCCCTGCTCCCAAACTCCTGTCCCTCTGCCCCGAGGCCTGGATCCGGCTGGAAGCAAAGCGGGATGAGCCGGAGCTCGGGATGGGCGCTTGGAGCCTCCCGCAGGGGAAGGATTGGTCAGGGCTGGAAAGTGGCTTCATCCCAGCTCCAGGCTTTTCCGACGGGAAGAGGCTTTTTCCACCTCTGAGGAATGAGGCGGCTGCTCCCAATGTTGGGAATGGCGCAGGAGCCAGCGCGGGGCCCTTCCAAAGGGATGGGGATGGGGATGGGATGCGACGGCGCGGCCGAGGAGGGACCATTCCCGGCTCCCAAGCGCAGGGTGCTCCGGTTATCCAAGGGATCCGTATCCCACAGCACAGCCCCATCCCGGCTGCCTCACCCTGGGAACTGGGCAAATCCAACGGCAATTCCCGATGTAATTCCCAACCTTTCCAGAAAGGGACGAGGGGCTGAGCGAGGGTGCGGATCAGGCAGCAAAGCGGGACTGGGATTCCTGAGCACCATTCACTGCTCCCGAATGGAACAGCGCTGGATGCATGGATACCCCCCCTTTGGAAGGCAGCTGCTGGAAAAGGCAGGGATTTGGATCCCAAATCAATGCAGGGATCTTCGCTCCGTTGTGTCCATAGGAGGGGAGCTCCTGCTCCTGCCCGTTCCAGGATGCACGGAACCCGGGATAGAGGCACTGGATCCTCGCCGCTCCCCAGCTCTGGAATGGATCCTCCTGGGGCATCTGAATGGATCAGCGCAGATCCCGCGATTCCCATTGGGAGCAGCGCCCGATCCCGAGCTTCCTCAAGTCCGTGGGAGCAGAAGCCGGGATGAATCCCAGCCGGACGCATCCAGGATCCGGATGGATCAGGGCAGCATCTTCCCATCGCATCCCCCTCATCCCATGGGAACGCGATCCCGCATGGAGCAACCAGGAGCCAAGTTCCCGGCTTCAGCCCAGCGCACCGGGGACAGCGGCTCCGAGCGCCGGGAATGCGATCCCAAGGAGCCAACGCCGGGAACGCATCCAGGAGGATCCAGCGCTGGGAAAACCCTTCCCGGAGCCCGCCCGAGCGGGAAGCACTGGGAAGCAGCTCCCCCTATTCCCAAGGAACCATTCCCTGACCCCCCCATATCCCATAGCGGGGGGGGGGGGGGCAGGACACGACCCAATCCTATCCACAGCCATGGAACATGGAATTCCAATGGGATCCCGCTCCCCCCCCATGTCCCCCCCTTGGTTGAGCCCATTCATCCTAACGGGGGGGAAGAGGGGGGGAGTTTAAAGCCCCCCCCCTCCAAAGCGGCCTCGCACGTCCCCCCACCCCAATGGACGCCCCCAACTGGGAGCTGCCCCCCTCCCCCCCCCGGTCACACCCCCCGCAACCCCCCCCCAACGTCCCCGCTCTCACCGGCGGGTGGGGGCAGGGCCCCCCCGGTTCCGCCCGGGCCGCGGGGGGGGGTCACGGGCGCGGCGGCGGCGGCGGCTCCACCTGAGGAGGGCCCGGGCCCCCCCCCGCCGCCCTCCCGCCCGCCCGCCCCGAGCCACTTCCGGCCCCCGCCGCAGCCAGGCCGCGCAGCCGAGCGCCGACGCTGTCGAGCGGCCGCCGGGAGCGGGGGGGGGACGCGGCGGCCATGGGCTAACACGGGGTGGGGGGGGAGCAGTCGAGCGCCGATGAATCGAGCGGTGAACAGGGGAGGGTAGGGGAGCGCCGAGTGGGGAGGGGGGGAGTGGGGAGAGCCGAGGGCATCGATGGGCCCCGCGGGCTGGAGCGGCAATCCATAGCCGATAGCAGACAGCCGATAGGCGATAATCGATACCGGCGGGGACGGGCTCACGGCACAACGAGAGGTACTGGGAGCCCCTCATGGGATCGATCATAGGGAGGTTGCAGGGTTCTATAGGTCCTGGGGGGTCCCATAGGGTCATGGGGTAAGGGAGCTGTACAGGAGCAGGGGGTCCTATAAGGTCATGGGGGTTATGTAGGGTCAGGGGGGTTATGCAGGGTCACAGGGTTCCATGGGGTTACAGGTCCCATAGGGTCAGGGCGATACATGGGGTCACTGGGGTCCCATAGGGACAGTGTTATATAGGGTCACAGGGTCCCATAGGGTCAGGGGTCCCACAGGGTGAGTGTCCCGTAGCACCAGTGGCTTACACAGGATCCCAGTGAGACCCAGGTCACCTGGGGACAGAGGGGTCCCTCTGCTGTGGGACCACTGGGCGGGGGGGGGTGTCTCCCAGATCCACCCCCTGTATCCCACCCCATCCCATCCTATCTGATCCCATCCCACCCCCTGTATCCCACCCCATTCCATCCAATCCCACCTGACCCCATCCCATCTGATCCCATCCCACCCCCTGCATCCCATCCATCCCATCCCACCCACCTGATCCCATCCCACCCCCTGTATCCCGTCCCACCCACCTGATCCCATTCCACCCCGTGTCCCACCCCATCCCATCTGATCCCATCCCACCCCCTGTATCCCATCCATCCCATCCCACCCACCTGATCCCATCCCACCCCCTGTATCCCGTCCCACCCACCTGATCCCATTCCACCCCCTGTGTCCCACCCCATTCCATCCCACCCCATCCCACCCCATCCCATCTGATCCCATCCCACCCCCTGTATCCCACCCCATCCCACCTGATCCCATCCCACACCCTGTATCCCATCCATCCCATCCCACCCCCCTGACCCCATCCCACCCCATCCTGTCCCCGCTCTGCCCCCGGAACCTCCGAGTCCATAAAAGCTTCACAATCTTTATGGCGCCACTTTCACACGTCGGGGGCCATAAACCACCGCGACCTTCGCTCCGCGGCACGGGGCGGGGGGGGGGCAGCGGCTCAGCGGGTGACGGTGACACGGACGCGGTGCCAGGCGTTGCTGAGGACCCCGCGCAGGTTCCAGATGGGCGCCACGGTGTCGGGCTGGACGTTGTAGCTCCCATCCACAGCCTTGCACACGATCTCCAGCTCCGCGCCCGCCGCCACCGGTGCCCGCAGCTCCCAAAGCCTCCAAGCCCAGGCACGGCCCAGCTCTTGGCGCTCGCCCTCTAACCGCGCCACGCGCCAGCTGCGGCCCCCGTCCAGGGACACGTCCACCCGCACCACGTCGCGCCCGCCGCCGCTCCACGCGTACCCCTTCACCGTCAGCTCCCCCGGCGGCACCGCCGCGCCGGGCCGGGGCTGGGTGATGGCCGATTGCACCGGCAGCTCCTGGATGGCGGGCGCCGCGCTGTAATCTACCGAGTCCCAGTCCACGCAGGGCGAGAAGCCCTTGTAGTCGTTCTGCTGCCAGTGGCTGGGGCTCTCGGCCGCGCTCACCGCCACCCGCGCCAACCACTTGACGCTGCGGGCGCCCACCACGCCGGGCACCACGACGCGCACGGGGAAGCCGTGGTCGCGGGGCAGCTCCTCGCCGTTCATCTCGTAGGCGAGCAGGACGTCGGCGCCGGCGCTGATGGCGCGGCCGTAGGGGATGGAGGCCCCGTAGGGAGCCCCGCCGGGGTCGGCATCCAGCCCCTCGAAGCACACGTGCCACTCGCCGGCGCGCTCCTCGCCGAAGCCGGCCTGGAGCAGCACATCCCGGAGCCGCGCTCCCGCCCAGCGCGCGGTGCCGATGGCGCCGATGTCCCAGGGCAGGCCCTTGACGGGGCGCACGCGGCTCATCTCGGAGCGCCGGTTCCCGGCGCACTGCAGCGTCGCCGTCACCTCGTGCTTGGGGAAGCGGCTCCGCAGCTCCGACAGCGACAGCGCCAGGACCCGGCCCTCGGGGCCCTCCACGCGCAGCCGGTACGAGGCCGGGTCCACGGCCGGCACCGGGAGGTGGTTCCGGGTGAAGAAGAGCTCGTTGGGGGTCAGGAAGCGCTCGGTCAAGAGCTCCGCGGGGGTCTCGGCGTTGAACGGCTTCCGGCTGCTGATGCGCAGCCCCGGGTGCCGAGGGGGGTCCCCGGCGAACGGGTCCTGAGCGGCGCCGGGGTCCGGGGGGGCCTCGTCGGGGCTGAGCTCCCCCACCTTGAACTCCCGCAGCAGCTCCAGGACGTGGGGTTGGTTGTGGACGGCGTAAAGGGCCCAGAAGGGCTCCAGGGCGCCCCCGGCCGCCAGCAGCAGCTTCTCGGCCCCTCCGGGGTGCAGCTCCACGAAGTCGGTGACATCGAAGACGTCGGTGCCGTGCGTGACCCAGACGCGGTCCTGGGGGGAGCGGTGCCTCCCCACCTCCTCCCGCGTGTACCGGGGGTACCGGCGGCTCGGGGGGGCCTGCGCCGCCTGCGCGACCTGCGGGACCCCATCAGTGCCCCCGTCCCGGCGGTGCCCCCCCCTCCCGCCCCGGTGCCCCCGCGGTACTCACCCTCCGCCGCCGCTCCCCATAGGCCAGCGCAGCTCCGAGGCCCAGCAGCGCCGCCAGCACCGTGGCCGCCCCCCGCCGGCCCCCCGCGGCCGGGTTACCGGGGGTGAAGCGGGAGAAGCCGCGGCGGGGCAGCGGGAACCTGCGGGAGAAGGTGGGGGGGGGGAAGAACGGGGCTGGGACCGGCAACGGGGAAAGGGGGCACCGAGGGGACAACGGGGGGGATCCGGACGGAGCGGGTCCTACCTGTGCCCGGCGGCGATAGCGGCAGCGCGGAGCAGCAGCATCGCAGCGGGACCTGCACGGGAGAAAGCGGCTGGGGCGGGCACCGGGCACCGCTCGACCGGGAACCGGCCCCGAGGGGAGCGGGCAGCGGGGACCCGCGCAGGGCATCGCCCCCTCCTCCCTCCCCTTCGCTCCGGTGCCCCCCCCGGTGCCCGTCCCGGCCCCGCCGCGAACCTGCGTTGCGCTTTCAGTTGCGCGACGTCCTGCGCAGCGCTGCCCCTTTAAGAGAGATGCGAGGTGGGCGTGGCCTCCGCTGAAGCCACGCCCTTCGGGGTGGGATGGGCGTGGCCAAGCCCCCTCCGGGGGTCCCACTGGTGTGGGGGGGCGCGCTTAAAAGGGCAACAGCAGCGCGGCTTAAAGGGGCAACGCACTTAAAGGCGCCGCGGCACCTCCCGGTGGGCACCGGGGGTCCGGGCCGTTGTTGACCGGAGCCGCCGCCCCGCTGGGCTCCGCGATAAGCGTTATCGGGGCAGGACCGGTGGCGGCAGGCGGCGGAGCCCCGCATCCCGCCCTGGGCACACAGAGGCGGGGTGGGTCGAGCCCCGTTGGCTCCCGTTGGTTGGGTTTTACGTCCATGGACGGCGTGTGGGGAAAGGAGGGGCCGAGCTCGGGTCTCAGGGTTGTTATTGAACCGCGATGGAGCCGCTCCCTCGAAGCCAAAATCATTATAATTATAATAAGAATGACCAGGAAAAGGGGGAGGGGGGGGAGCTGCAGCGTGACCCCAAACCAGGACATGGGGGGGAAAGAGGGGGCAGAAATAGGGACCCCAGCCCCGGTTCAACACCAAGCCCTGATTTGAGGGGCTGGGGAAGGGGAGGGGGGATCTGCCCCTGCAATAGGGGGCTTCATACGAGACAGGTCCCTCTGCCCCACAGCCATGGGTAGGGTGGGCCCCCCCCATGCCGTGTGCAGCCTGAGCCCATAGGGAAAGCAGGAGCTGGCCCCTGGGGTGAGCCCCATTGGGGTATCCCCCATTGGGGTGTCTCAGTGGGGCCCTTTTGGCTGCTGGGACCTGGGAGCATCCCAATGCTCTGCAGGGTTCCTGCAGCTGGGAATGGCTCCAGGGGAAACCAAACCCTGGGGGCTCTGAGTATGGGGGGGGCCCAAAGGGAACCCAAACCCCACCAAGGTGCATCCGAAGGGGCCGTTTCCGTGACTAAAGTGCAAACCGGAGACGCCGGCACTGGCTGGGGAGGAACCGTGGGGAGAGCCGGGGCTTGGGGGGGGGGGGGGCTCCTCATGGCCCCATCACCGCGGCGTTCCCATCCTCCGGCCAGAGCCGGGAATCAAGGCCACCCATAGGAGGAAGCGAGGGCGCTGCAGCTTCCCTCCCTCCCCATGGAGCACAGAGGAGGAAGAGGAGAAAAGGGATGGGGATGGAGGGGGGGGAATAATAAAAATAAGGAAAATCCAACAGAAATCCATGAGAGACCCCGCGGAAATCCCCGCAGCTCAAAGCTCCGGGAGGAGGGAGCCGGCGGGAGCTCGCGTCGCTGCGGGCGCCTATGATACAAAGTGAGGAAGAGTCCGGATTCCCATCCCGAGTCCGATCCGCAGCCAATGGAGCTCCCGGGAGCAGCGGCGGTGGAAGCGGCACAAAGTGCGGTGAGGGGCACGGCGGGGCCTGGTGGTGGTGATGGTGGTGATGGTGATGGTGGTGATGGGGCCGGGGGGGTGTGGATGGAGAAGGGGGGTCCTGGCTCGGCCCGGCCTCAGTTGCTACAACACTGGCTCCTGTGCTGCTGGCTCTGCTCGTGCAGGTCCACGCCGCGGCCCCGGCCCCCGGCCCCGCTCGTGCTCTGGGGATCGCTCTTTGGCAGCTTCTTGGCTGGAAGGGGAAGGAGGAAGAGGAGGTGATGGAGCCGGGGGGAGGGGGTTGGAGACCACGGGGATGGGCTCCCAGTGAGCGGCAAAGAGGGGGGACACACGCAGGGGATGCAGGAGTGGGAGCCCGATGTGTCAGGACTGTGGAATGGGGTGGGAATCATGGAATGGGTTGGGAATCATGGAATGGGTTGGGTTGGGAATCATGGAATGGGTTGGGTTGGAAATCATGGAATGGGTTGGGAATCATGGAATGGAATGGGTTGGAAGTCATGGAATGGGTTGGGAATCATGGAATGGGTTGGAAATCATGGAATGGGTTGGGTTGGAAGTCATGGAATGGGTTGGGTTGGAAGTCATGGAATGGGTTGGGATGGAAGCGACCTTAAAGCTCATTCAGTTCCAGCCCCTGCCATGGGCAGGGACACTTCCCACTAGAGCAGGGTGCTTCAAGCCCCATCCAACCTGCCCTTGAACAGGGATGGGGAATCCAAACCTTCCCCACTCAACCCATTCCATGTCCCATGTGAGGGCACAGGGCAGAACTTCCTCAGATCCCACCTCCATCTCCCCTCTGGCAGGTTAAAGCCATTCCCCTCGTCCTACCCCTCCATCCAAAGCCCCTCTCCCAGTTCCCTGCTTTAAGGAGCCCTCTCCAGGCTGGACCAGCCCAGCTCAGCATCATCCCCCCCTTCCCATCCCCTCATTCCTGCATCCCTCCAGCATCACCCCCCCTTCCCATCCCCTCATTCCTGCATCCCTCCAGCATCACCCCCCCTTCCCATCCCCTCATTCCTGCATCCCTCCAGCATATTCCCCCCTTCCCATCCCCATTCCTGCATCCCTCCAGCATCACCCCCCCTTCCCATCCCCTCATTCCTGCATCCCTCCAGCATCATCCCCCCCTTCCCATCCCCTCATTCCTGCATCCCTCCAGCATCACCCCCCCCTTCCCATCCCCTCATTCCTGCATCCCTCCAGCATCACCCCCCCCTTCCCATCCCCTCATTCCTGCATCCCTCCGGCTCCCCACCGCTCACCGATGGCCAGGAAGAGGTCATTGACGTTCATCGCCGTCTTGGCCGACGTCTCCATGAACAAGAGGCTGTTGTCATCTGCATACGCCTGAGCCTCCTGCAAGGCACCCATGGCACCCGTGAGGCTCCAGCAGCACCCAGTGAGGATGGGTGGTGGCACCCAGCACCCCCCTCACCTCGTACTCCACCATGCGCTTGCTGGCCAGGTCGGCTTTGTTGCCGGCCAGGGCGATGACGATGCTGGGGCTCGCCTGGCGCTGCAGCTCCTTCACCCATGTCTTGGCCCGTGCAAAGGTTTCCTAGGAGCAAAGGGGGGGATCCAGGGCTCATCCCAGGGCTGCACCGCAAGGGGGGGGGGCTCAGAGGGACCCCCATTGTGGAAGCAGCCCCCCCAAAGCTCCTGGATGGGGGTCCCTACCTGGTTGGTGATGTCATAGACCACGATGGCGGCCTGGGCCCCCCGGTAGTACATGGGGGCCAGGCTGTGGTACCGCTCCTGCCCCGCTGTATCCCAGATCTCAAACTTGACCGTTGTGTCATCCAGGCAGACGGACTGTGTGAGGAATGCCGCTGTCCCGACGGGTAACAGCGTTAGTGCCGTTATCCCCCTGCATCCCAAACCCCATCAGAGCATCCCATATATCCCAAACCCCACCACAAGTCCCCCTGCATCCCAAACCCCATCAGAGCATCCCATGCATCCCAAACCCCACCACAACTCCCCCTGTATCCCAACCCCACCAGAGAATCCCCAGCATCCTCAACACAACCACAGCATCCCCAGCATCCCAAACCCAACCACAGTATCCCCTGCATCCACAACCCAACCACAGCATCCACAGGATCCCAAACCCAACCACAGCATCCCCTGCATCCACAACCCAACCACAGCATTCACAGCATCCTAAACCCAACCACAGCATCCCCAGCATCCCAAACCCAACCAGAGCATCCCCTGCATCCCAAACCCCACCAGAGCATCCCCAGCATCTCAAACCCAACCAGGGATCCCCTGCATCCTCAACCCAATCACAGCATCCTCAACCCAACCACAGCATCCTAAACCCAACCAGAGCATCCCCTGCATCCACAACCCAACCACAGCATCCCCAGCATCCCAAACCCCACCACAGCATCCCCAGCATCCCAAACCCCACCACAGCATCCCCTGCATCCCAAACCCAACCACAGCATCCCCAGCATCCCAAACCCAACCACAGCATCCCCAGCATCCCAAACCCCACCAGAGCTGGGCGCAGGGGCTCAGGCTCCCGCCTCACCTCCGATGGTGCTCTCCTGGTACTCGTGGAACTGGCCCTTGACGAAGCGCAGCACCAGGCTGGACTTGCCCACGGCCGACTCCCCCAGCAGCACCAGTTTGAACTGACAGATCTTCCCAGCTTGGGACTGCCCGTTCGGCCTGGCGGCGCCTCGGCTGCTCATGGCCCCCGCTTGGCTGGGAGTGCCGCGGGGTGTCCGTGCGGGAAGGGTCCGCTCGCTCCTCCTGCAAGGGCGGAAGCGGCGTCGGGATCTGGGATCTCTTCCCCCCCCCTCCCGGCTCCTCCATTTCCAAAGGGGCGAATGCAGGAAGCCGGGATCCTCGCAGCGAGGAGGCTGGGAGTGAGTCAGCAGCGCGGCGGCGCTCCCGGGCACGCCGCTGGAGACCGGGAGCCAGGAGGGAAGGGATGGGAGCAGCTCCCGGCTCTGCCCCGCATTCCTCAGCGCTGGAATGGGGGGGGGGGGGTTCCCTTGTTTGTGCTCGGGCACTGTGAATGCTGCGGCTTCCCAAGGGAAGAAGGAGGAAGCAGATGGGGGGGTTTCCATTGGGAATGGTCTCGCTCGTAACATTCCAGTGGGAGCAGAGCTTTGGGAGCACCGGGTAAGGCCAGACCCAAGCGGGAAGTTGGAGGATGCCGGTTCCCCTTCGCCATCCGCCTCAAGGGGCTGCTCTAACCCGGCAGGAAACCCTTCCCGACCCCGGCACGCAGAGCATGGAGCATCCCTGGATCCACCGGGATCCCCCTCAGGCACAGCACCGGGAATGCCGCTGCCCTGCTCCGTCTGATCCGGAAAGCACCGGGAATACACACGCAGGAAGCTCGGGACCAAGCGCTCCTCAGCGCCTGAGGGTTTCCCAGTGTTTGAAGGGCTCGGAGCAGATCCGGGATACCGGGAACAGCACCGGGAGCATCCCGGCTCCATCGCCCTCACAGCACACGGAGGAATCCAACCGGCACCGCACCAGGAGCGGCCGCCCCGTCCCGGTGCCCATGGAGGGGCCAGCTCCGGAATCCGCTCTGGGAATGGATCCACCTCTCCCAGGCTGATCCCACTTCCTTCAGGGAAGGGGCTGGATCCTTCCTTCCCCCATCCACACAACCCCACCTCCACCGCTCGCTCCATGCGGGTTTCCAACACCAGATCCCATCCTCCCGGGAACGGATCCCAGGCCTGGGATGGGAATGGTCGCTTCCCACTGGCACAGCCCCACAGCGCCTTTTCCAGCCCTCTGGAAGCGCACGGATCCAGACCCTCCCATCCACCCCTCAATGCATCCCAATGGCTCCGTGCCCACGGATCCCACCGGGTTTAAGGAAGCTCCAACCACCCCAACCTGCGCTTTGGGGCACCGCAGCCCCCGGGATCAGCGGCATTCCCGGGACGGCCCGCATGGATCATCCCATCCCTTCCCAACGGGATCCCGGCGGCACCGGCTCACGGCGTCACCCCCCCCCCCCGCCCCGTTGCCGCTATCACCGCTCCTATGTCCGGTACCGGGGGGGGGGATCAGAGCAAACCGGAGCCACGAAGCCCTCACCATTGGCTTCAATGAAGGGACCCGGTTCCGGACCCCCCTCCCGGTGCCCCGGAATGGATCCTCCCGCTGCGGGGTGGGAACAGGTCCCGGTGCCGCGGCCCCACCCCCAGCCCGGGGCACCGGAGCTCCCGTGCCCCCCCTCCGGTACCTCAGCGCCCGGCCCGACCCGGCCCGGCCCTCCCGTCGCGGCCCCGGAGCGCACAAACAGCGGCTCAGCCAACCCGTCCTGCCGTGGGCGGGATGAAGGCGCGGCTCAGCCAATCAGGTGCGCGCAGCGGGGTGGAGGACGCGCCCCTACCGCTCGGCTGCACCAATGGGAGGGAAAGGGGAGCGCGTCATCGCACCGCCCCGCGTAAGGAGACCAATGGGAGATAGGGGGCTCGCGTCATCGCGCCGCTCCGCGGAGGGAAGCCAATGGGAGAGGGAGACAGGGCGGATGGGCAGGGCGATGGCCAATGGGAGCGAGGAGAGCGGTTGGCCAATGGAAGGGAAGGATGGCGGTGAATGAGGGCGAGCATGGGGTGAGTGTCGGAGCGGGGAGCCAATGGGAGGAGGCGCCACCGCGCAGGTGGGTGGCACCAACAACAAATAAGGTGACCTCAGGGGGCAGAGCGCCACCGCCTCAAGGGCCAATGGGGACGAGGGAGGCCAAAGCAGGCGCACAGCCCAGCCAACCCGAGGCCAGCGGCGTGATGACGATGCAGTGCTTCCAGCCAATCACAAGAGCTGCTTCCCACGATTGACAGAGGCGGGGCGGGCTGTGTCCTCTGTGGCCTCACCCACCCCATTCCAAGGCGGGGCGGGGCTCAGCCAATAGGAGCGCGAGTGGGAGTGGCAAAATGATGGGTGTGGCGGGGGGCGTGACCTCACCGCGGTGGGCGGGGCCGGGCGCTGCCACGCACCTCTCCATGGGGGGGGGTTTGGGCCCATGTAGAGATGCGGGGGCACCCATAGCGCCATGGGGAGGGGGGGAGCAGCCCGTGATGGGGATGGGGGGCACTGACTGAGGGGTCCGGGGGGGTCCTATGGGCGCCCCCCCCCAGCGCACACAGAGCCTGATGTTAGCTACAAAAACTGCAAAGTTACAAAAGTCACACAGAAAAGGGGGGAGAAGCCGCGGGGGGGGGCACCAGGACCCCAAACAATGGGGTAATGGGGGGGGACACGCAGACAAACACAACCCCCAGCCCCAAGGTGAGGAGGAGGTTGAGGATGAAGAGGCGCCCCCCCCATGCTTTGTAAGTGCCACAAGTCCAGGTTGAGGGGGGGCTCTCTCCACATTAAGACCCCCAGAGGGGGAAAGGGGTTCTGGCTGCATCCCAAGGATGCGCCACGGCTGGGGAGGGGGCATCCCCCCCCCCAAATCCACCCCATGGTCCCACCCGGCGCGCACCACTCAGAGGCGCAGGTGGGGGACGGTGCGGGTGACATCGCGGAAGAAGGGGTGTCCCAGCGCCGCCTTGGCCGAGATGCGCTTGTTGGGGTCGTAGTGCAGCATTTGCTGGGGGGGGATAGAGAAAGGGGGGGGTTAAAGGGGGGATTAATGGGGGGTCCCTGTTATACCCCCCCCCCATTCAATGGGGACCACTCACCGCGAGGAGCTTGCGCCCCTCCTCCTCGAGGGGTGGCACCACCTTGGTGAAGTCCTGGCGGGCCCACTTGGGGAAGGTGGGTTTGTAGTCGGGCATGGCCGTGACCCCCGGCCAGGCGGCCTCGTCCGGCGTCCCCAGCGTGCGGAAGATGCGGAAGAGCTGATCGATCTCCGAGTCCCCCGGGAACAGCGCGCGGCGGGTGATCTGCACCAGCGGCACCCAAGGGGATCAGCCCCCCACAAACCCGGCCCATGGGATCCAATGGGATCAGCCCCATCCCATCCCATAGGATCCAATGGGATCAGCCCCATCCCATGGGATCCAATGGGATCAGCCCCATCCCATCCCATGGGCTCCAATGGGATCAGCCCCGTCCCATCCCATAGGATCCAATGGGATCAGCCCCGTCCTGTCCCATGGGCTCCAATAGGATCAGCCCCGTCCCATCCCATGGGATCCAATGAGATCAGCTCCCCCCTGGCAACTCCATCCCATGGGATCCAATGGGATCAATCCTCCACAACCCCATCCCATGGGATCCAATGGAATCAGTCCCCCACAACCCCATCCCATAGGATCCAATGGGATCAGCCCCGTCCTGTCCCATGGGTTCCAATGGGATCAGCCCCCCCCACCCTGTCCCATGGGATCCAATGGGATCAGCCCCCCCCCAGCCCCATCCCATGGGATCAGCCCCCCCCAGCCCCATCCCATGGGTTCCAATGGGATCAGCCCCCCCCCAACCCCATCCAATGGGATCTCCCGCATGAGCGCTCACACCGGGACCTCGTGACCCCACCCCCCCCCCGTGCTGGGATCGTGGTGCAGGCGGCTGGGGGTCAATGGGGATGCGGTTGGGACACGTGACGGGCGCCCGCTCATGTGACAGCCGGGAAGAGCCTTTGATCCCAGCTCCATTCAGGGATGGGGTGGGAGGGGGAGAACCCACCCCATAGATCCCAGGGGCACCCCTGGGACCCCAATGTCACTCCCAAAGCCCCTTTGATCCCAGCGCCATCAGTGAGGCACTGGTGTCAACGGGATGGGATGGGATGGGAAGAAACCATCCCATAGATGCACCCCTTGGACCCCAACATCACCCCCAAAGCCCCTCTGATCCCAGCCCCACACCGTGCAGTGCCACTTCAATGGGATGGACAGAACCCACCCCATAGATCCTGGGGGCACCCCAACATCACCCCCAAAGCCCCTCTCACCCATGTAGTGCCACTGTAATGGGATGGCCATAACCCACCCCACAGATGCTGGGAGCACCCCTGGGACCCCAACATCACCCCCAAAGCCCCTCTGATCCCAGCCCCACACCGTAGGGTGCCACTGCAATGGGATGGCCAGAACCCGCCCCACAGATCCCGGGGTCCCCATTGGTGGGCTCTGTGAGTGTTGGGGTCCCATCCATCACCCACCATCTCCGCGAAGATGCAGCCCAGGCTCCAGATGTCCACGGCTGTCGAGTAGTACTTGCACCCCAAGAGGATCTCGGGGGCGCGGTACCAGAGGGTCACAACCTGCCGCAAGGGGACACAGGATGGGCACCGGGTCCCCACTGCCACCCCCATAGCGGGTCCCTGTGACCCCCCCCCCACCACCCCAGCGCCTACCTCATGGGTGTAGGTGCGCACGGGCACCCCGAAGGCGCGGGCGAGGCCGAAATCGGCCAATTTGATGGCCCCGTCGGTGTTGATGAGCAGGTTCTGGGGCTTGAGGTCGCGGTGCAGCACGCGGTGAGCGTGGCAGAAGGCCAGGCCCTGCAGCAGCTGGAACAGGTAACTCTATGGGGAGGATGCAGGGGGGTCAATAGGGATGTGGGGTGAACCCCCCCCCGTTCCCTGCCCCACATCGTGGGGTCGGGTCCCCCCCCATCACACCTTGATGAGGGGCAGCGCGATGCCACTGAGGGATGAGGAGTCCATGAACTTCTTGAGGTCCTGGTGCAGGAACTCGAAGACCAGGTAGAGCTTGTTCTCGGTGTGGATCACATCCAGGAGCCTGCGGGGGGGGAATGGTGCGGGTGTGGGGTGCCCCATAGCAGTGGGGGGGGCTCACACCCATAGACATCCCCTCCATAGCCCCATAGACAGCCCCTCCATAGCCCCATGGGTGTCCCCCCAGCCCCATAGACAGCCCCTCCATAGCCCCCTGGGTGTCCCCGCAGCCCCATAGACAGCCCCTCTATAGTCCCATGGGTGTCCCCCCAGCCCCATAGACACCCCTCCATAGCCCCATGGGTGTCCCCCCAGCCCCATAGACGGCCCCTCCATAGCCCCATGGGTGCCCCCCATCGCTCACTTGACGATGTTGGGGTGATTGAGCTCCTTCAGCAGGGAGATCTCCCGGATCGCGGTGCTGGGGACCCCCTCGGTCTCTCTGGGATGGGGGGGGGGACAAAGCGGCTGAACTCCATCCCCATAGACCCCCCCATCCCCATAGACCACCCCATCCCCATAGACCACCCCAGACCCCCCCATCCCCATAGACACCCCCATCCCCATAGACCACCCCAGACCCCCCCATCCCCATAGACACCCCCATCCCCATAGACCACCCCAGACCCCCCCATCCCCATAGACACCCCCATCCCCATAGACCACCCCAGATCCTCCCATCCCCATAGACCCCTAGACCCCTCCCACCCCCATAGATCCCCCCATCCCCATAGACCCCCCCCCATCCCCACAAACCCCCCCTCATCCCCATTGAGCCTCCCATCCCAGACACCCCCATTCCCAAAGATCTCCCTGGAACCCCCATCCCCATAACCCCTGCCCCCCCATTCACCCTCCCATCCCCATAGACCCCCCCGGACCCTCCCATCTCCACAGATCCCCCCATCCCCATAGCCCTCCCCATCCCCATTGACTCCCTCCATCCCCATAGCCCCCCCATCCCCACTGACTCTCCCCACCCCCATAGACCCCCCTCATCCCCATAGCCCCCCCACCCCCGTAGCGCCCCCATCCCCATTGACCCCCCCACCCCCAGTGACCTCCCACCCCCATAGACCCCCATTCCCATTGATCCCCCACCCCCATAGCCCCCCCCCACCCCATAGCCCCCCCACCCCCATAGCCCCCCCATCCCCACAGCCCCCCCCACCCCACAGGCCCCCCCATCCCCAGTGACCCCCACTCACGTGTCCAACCGGATCTTCTTGAGCGCCACCACCTCCCCCGTCACCTTGTTCCGGGCCTTGTACACGACCCCGTACGTGCCCTCCCCGATCTTCTCCACCTTCTGGAAGTTCTCCATGGGGGGGGCACCTCCAGGCCCCTATGGGGTCCCTATGGGGTCCCTATGGGGTCCTATGGGGCCGACAGGGTCCTCTTACCGGGGGGGGTCCCTATGGAACGATCGCAGCCGCCGCTTCCCCCCCCCCGGGCACGGAACAATGTTTCGGCGGGTCCCGCTCCCGGCCCCGCCCCGCGCGCACGCTTCCCGCCTTCCGCCGGCCGCGCTCCCATTGGCCCGGCCCTCCGTGACGTCAGAGCGGCGCGGGAGAATTGTTAAAGGGGCAATTGAGGTCCTATAGGGGAGCCTTGGTACTAGGATGGGACCCACCAATGGGGGGGGTAATGGGTAAAGGGGCAATTGAGGTCCTATAGAGGAGCCTTGGTACTGGGATGGGACGCACCAATTGGGGGGGGGGGGAATGGGTAAAGGGGCAATTGAGGTCCCATAGAGGAGCCTTGGTACTGGGATGAGGATGGGACCCACCAATTGGGGGGGGGGAGAATGGGTACCAGATGGGTCATTGTGGGGGGTCCATCATCACTAGGGTGGGTGGGGGGGTTTGGGGACTTTAAGGGTCCCACATAAAGGGGGGGGCACCGGCATCTGAGCCCCCCCCCAAAGCGGGACCAATGGGGACTGTGGGTGCATGGGGGGCACCCCACCGTGTGTCCAAGCCAGACCCATGGGCATGGGGCCATCACGAGGGTGCTGGGGATGGGGGGCAGCACCCCCTATCCCCCCCCCCATTAGCAGTGGGTGCCTCTGTGTCCCTAAAGCACCCCACAGCCCCCCCCCCCCGAGCCCCCCCAGGGCACAGCCGGAGCGTGTGACCACGCGTGCTCGCACGTGTCCCCCACGTAACACAAGGGGGGGGGGGTGGGGAGCTCCTTGGGGTTCCCCCCCCCTTTTGGGGTGGGATTTATGCAAATGAGAGCCCCTTCATAACCCCCGGCCCCGCTGCTGAGCCCCGGCGGTGCCCAACGAGGGGGGACGCTGGGACCATGCGGGTGCTCGGGGTGGCTGCGGTGTTGGGGACCCTCCTGGTCCTGGCTGTGGCACAGAGGAGTAAGTGGGGTTCAATGGGGTGGGGGGGGTCATTGATGGAGGAGGGGTTAAGAGGATGGGGGTGCACCCCCAGCCTGGCAATGGAGCCATCGGGGTGGTCCTGGACAAGGATGGGGCTTAGAGCATCCAAGCACCCCGGGGTTGGGAGTGGGGGAGGATCAGACCCCGCTGATCCCTTTGGGGGCCATTGGGGGGGGTCATTGTGGGGTCCCCGATGCTCTGCAGGATGGGGGGGGAACCTTCAGTGCTTTGGGATGAGGGTTTGGGGGTCCCCATCCCTATGGGGGAGGGGGGGGCACCTCCGTGGTCGCTGTCCCCGTCCATCAATGACTGTGGGGCACGGGGGGGGGGGCTCAGCTCCCCGCACCCCGCGGGGCCGGCTCAGCTGAGGGTCACATGAAGAGGCTTTGGGTGCCATGTGATGGGCTTTGCCCCACTCGTGGCCCATCACGAGGTGCCAAGGGGGGGTAATGGGGGGGGGTCCCAATGGGGGGGTGGGGGGGGCACAAACGGTGCCGTCCTCACCCCTTGTCCCCGCAGGAGCCGGGGGCCGGAGCCGGTCCTGGAGCGGGCGCCCGGCCCCGTTCCGGAGCTGGGACTCGGTGCGGTACCGGCCCTGGCAGGAGGGAGCCCCGCAGCAGCCGGGCTGCTGGAGAGGTGGGTACCGGGGCTGAGCGGGTACCGGGGCTGGGTGGGTACCGGGGCTGAGCGGGTACCGGGGCTGGGGATGGAGCCGGGGCTGGAGCCGGGGCTGGAGATGGAGCCGGGGCTGGGTGGGTACCGGGGCTGGGGCTGGAGCCGGGGCTGGGGCTGGAGCCGGGGCTGGGGCTGGAGCCGGGGCTGGAGATGGAGCCGGGGCTGGAGCCGGGGCTGGAGCCGGGGCTGAGCCTGAGCCCCGCTCCCTGCTCCGGTCCCTGCCAGGCGGCGACGTCGCCTTCGACATCAGCAACGATGCCCCCACCATGGCGGGCGCCGAGGCCACCTTCTCCATCGCCCTGCGCCTGCCCAGCACCCAGGAGCTGCGGCCCGACGGCAGCGTGGTCTGGAGCCAGAACTGCACCGTCAACGGTCGGCACCCAGACAAGGGCACAGAGCACCCCTGAAACACCCCCAAAACACCCAAAAACACCCGTGAAACACCTGAAAACACCCCAAAACACCCCTGAAACACCCTGAAATACCCTGAAACACCCCAAAACACCCCTGAAACACCCCCAAAACACCCCTGAAACACCCCAAAACCCTCCCCAAACCCCCCCAAAACAGCCCTGAAACACCCCCAAAAGACCCCTGAAACCCTCCTGAAACACCTCCAAAACACCCCGAAAACACCCCCAAAACAACCTCGAAACCACCCCGAAACCTTCCACAAACCCTCTCAAAACACCCCCAAAACCCTTCCAAAATACCCCTGAAACACCCCCAAGACCTCCCCAAACCCTCCCAAACTCCCCCAAAACCCTCCCCACACACCCCGAAAACACCCCCAAAACCCTCCCCAAACCCTCCCAAACCACCCCTGAAACACCCCTGAAAGAAAACCAAACTTTCCCAAAACAGCCCCAAAACACCCCCAGAACACCCCAAAACCCTCCCCAAACCCTTCCAAAACCACCCCAAAACCAGGACCCTCCAAAACCACCCCAAAACCCTCCCAAATCTCCCTAAACCACCCCAAAACCACCCCAAACCCGCCCCCCCCCCCATAACCCTCCCCTCTGCTCCCGCAGGCACCCGCGTGGCCCGTGGGGACCCGGTGTTCCCGGACCCCCCCGATGATGCCAACGGCGCCTTCCCCGACGGGCGCCCGTTCCCCACCGGCGGCAAGCGCGGGAGATTCGTCTACGTGTGGTGGACGTGGGGTGAGACCCCCAAGCACAGCCCCCAGCACCCATGGAGGGGTCCTGAGCCCCAGTCCTGACCCCATCCCACCCCATCCATCCCATCCATCCCATTCATCCCATAGGGCGCTACTGGCAGGTTGTGGATGGAGCCACGTCCCAGCTGACGGTGGGCACGGCCGGGGTGCCCCTGGGCTCCTACACCATGGAGGTCGTTGTCTACCACTACCGGGGCCGCCAGAAGTTCATCCCCATCGGCAGAGCCAGCTCCCAGTTCAGCATCACTGGTGGGGACTGGGACGGGGAGAAGGATGGGACCCCCAGGGGTGATGGGGATTGGACCCCCAGTGGGATGGGGATGGGATCCCCAGTGGGGATGGGGATGGGACCTCAATGGGGATGAGGATGGGAGCCCCAGTTGGGATGGGGATGGGACCTCAATGGGGATGAGGATGGGAGCCCCAATGGGGATGGAGACGGGACCCCCGATGGAGATGAGGATGGGACCCCCAATGGGGATGGAGGTGGGACCCCCAGTGGGGATGGGGATGGGAGCCCCAATGGGGATGGGGATGGGACCCCCAATAGGGACGGGGATGGGACCTCAATGGGGATGAGGATGGGATCCCCGATGGAGATGAGGATGGGACCCCCAGTGGGGATGGGGATGGGAGCCCCAATGGGGATGAGGATGGGACCCCCAAGGGGGATGGGGATGGGACCCCCCATGGGGATGAGGATAGGACCCCCAATGAGGACAGGGATGGGACCCCAATGGGGACGGATGGAACCCCAACGGGTGCAGGTGAGCTGATGCTGTCCCCACGTGTGTCCCCCCCCCAGACCAGGTCCCGTTCGCGGTGGACGTGACGCAGGTCCCCAGTGCCGCGGATGGCGCCGGGCGCTACGTGCGGAACCGCGCCGTGGCCTTCACCGTGCGGCTGCACGACCCCAGCCGCTTCCTGCGCGACGCCGACGTCTCCTACTCCTGGGACTTCGGGGACGGGAGCGGGACCCTCATCTCCCGCAGCGCCACCGTCACCCACACGTACCTGGAGGCCGGCTCCTTCGCCGCCCGCATGGTGCTGCAGGCTGCCATCCCCCTGAGCCCCTGCGGCACCTCCACACCGCCCGTCGTGGGCCCCACCACCGCCGCAGCACCGACAGCCCCGCTCCCCACCACCCCGGGGGTGCCCAGCACCGGTAAGGGGAGCACCAGACCCCATCCCATCACCATGGGTACCGGGGGGGTTCTCCCCATTGTCACTCTCTGCCCATTGCATCAGCAGCATCCGGGTCACCCACGGGGGGATCGGCGGCCGTCACCGTGCCCTCAGACACCGCTGTTACTGTGCCTTTGGATCCAGCCATCACTGGTGCCTTGGACCCTGTTGTCACTGATGCCACGGATGCTGCTGCCACTGATGCCTTGGACCCTGTTGTCACTGATGCCTTGGATGCTGCTGGCACTGATGCCTTGGATGCTGCTGGCACTGATGCTTCGGATGCTGCTGGCACTGATGCCACGGATGCTGCTGGCACTGATGCCACAGATGCTGCTGCCACTGGTGCCTTGGACCTCGTTGTCACTGATGCTTCGGATGCTGCTGTCACTGAGCCCATCCTCGTGGCACTCAGCACCCCAGCAGCTGCTGCCGTGGGTACTGGTCCCGCTGCCACTGTGGTCCCCGTGCTCCCCACCTCGGTGGCCCCGGCTGGGGATGCTCTGGGCACCGCAGCTGCTGTAGACACAGAGGGAATGGTGGCTACAGGTGGGTATTGGGGAGTCCTGGGGTGTCCCAGCTCCTTCTGCCTCTTCCTTACCATTGGCTTCTCCTGCAGACGCAGCCGTGGCTGGAGCCACTGTTGGAGCCACGGATGGAGCCACAGCCGTGTCCATGGCTGTAGCCACGGATGCACCCACGGATACAGCCACGGATGCACCCACGGATACAGCCACGGATGGAGCCACGGATGCAGCCATGGATACAGCCACGGATGCAGCCACGGATGCAGCCACGGATGGAGCCACGGATGCAGCCTCGGCAGAGCCGCTGGTGCTGGTGAAGCGCCAGGCCCCGGCCGCCGAAGCCACCGGCTGCATCCTGTACCGCTACGGCACCTTCTCCACGCAGCTCGACATCGTCCGTGAGTGCGGGGCGGGGGGGACCGGAGCGGGGCGGGGGTGGGGGGATCCGCGCCCGTCCTGACCCCGCATCCATTGCAGAGGGCATCGAGAGCGTCTCCATCGTGCAGGTGGTGCCGGTGGTGGCAGAGGGCGGCGAGAGCAGCGTGGAGCTGACGGTGACGTGCGAGGGGAGGTGAGGGCCGGCGGGGACGGGACGGGACGGGGATGGGCACGGGGATGGGCACGGGGACGGGAGCGGGGGACCCGGTAGGGACAGGAAACGGAACGGGAGCGGGGGCCCGATGGGGATGGGAGCGGGTGCCCAGCAGTGATGGGGACGGGAACGGGGATGGGACAGGGGGGCCGGCGCTGCTGGGACTGGGATGGGGATGGAAGCGGGGACCCGGCGGGGACGGGGATGGGGACAGGGATGAGACTGGAGAACCCGACGGGGATGGGGATGGAAGCGGTGGCCCGACGAGGACGGAACGGGGATTGGGAGCGGGGTCCCAGTAAGGACGGGAACGGGGATGGCAGAGGGGACCCGGTGAGGATGGGAATGGGGCCGGGAGCGGGGGGCCCGGCGGGGACGGGGATAGGGAAAGGGACGGGAACGGGGACGGGAGCAGGGAGCCCGGTGGGGACGGGGATGGGGAAAGGGACGGGAACGGGGACGGGAGCAGGGAGCCCGGTGAAAACGGGAGCAGGGACGGGAGCAGGGAGCCCGGTGGGGACGGGAGCGGGGACGGGAGCGGGGACGGGAGCGGGGCCCGGTGAGGACGGGAGCGGGGACGGGAATGGGGACCGGAACGGGACGGGAGCGGGGCCCGGTGAGGACGGGAGCGGGGCCGGCAGGGGCTGACCCTCGCCCGCAGCCGCCCCGAGCAGGTCTGCACCGTGGTGGCGGACGCCGAGTGCCAGGAGGCGGCGGGGGCTCAGACGTGCTCGGCCGTGGAGCCGGGCCCCGGGTGCGAGCTCCTCCTGCGCCAGGACTTCAACGGCTCCGGCCTCTTCTGCCTCAACGTGTCCCTGGCGGCCGGCGGCAGCCTCGCCGTGACCAGCACCCGGCTCAGCGTCGGAGGCGGAGGTGGGATGGGGGGGACCGCTGGGATCGGGGGGGGGGGGATCCATTGGGATTGGAGGGGATGCGGTGGGATGGGGGCAGAATCCGGTGGGATTGGGAAGGGTTCTGGTGGTAAAGGGGGGGATCCGGTGGCATCGGGATGCGAATCTGGTGGAATGGGGAGGGGGGGATCCAGTGGGATGAGGAGGGAGATCTGGTGGGATGGGAGGGGAATTCGGTGGGATTGGGACGTGGTGGGACTGGGGGGATCCGGTGGGATGGGGGGGATCCAATGGGACGGGGGTGCTGAGGTGCCCCCCCTCCGCAGGCTTTGCCCCGGCTGCCGGCGCGACCACGCTCATCGTTGTGGGGCTGGTGCTCATCGGGGCTGCCCTGGGCACCGCAGCCTGCGCCTACCAGTGAGCATGGGGGGGGCACCATGGGGGGCACTGTAGTGGGGGGGAGGCACTCCATAGGGGAGGGACTCTGGAATGGGGGCACCACGGCATGGGGAGGGGGGGGCACCATGGGGACATACACATGGGGGGGGGCAGAGAGTGTGGGAGGACATGGGGGGTAGGGGGATGCATAGCATGGGGGGGGGGCACCATGGCACAGGCAGATGGCAAGGGGGGGGCATGGAGCATGGGGTGGACACCATGGCATGGGGGGGTTACTGTGATGGGAGGGGGTCACTGTGACAAGGGGGGGTCATTGTGACAAAGGGGGATCTCTGTGATGGGAGGGGGTCACTGTGACAAGGGGGGGTCTCTGATCGTGGCACCGGGGGACACCAGGACCCTTCCCTGCAGGCGCGTTCAGTACCACCCGCTGCCGCCCGCGGCCCCCCCGGCCCCCCGGCCCCGGGGCTGGCTCCCCCCCAGCTCTGCCCTGCGCCTGCTCCTGCGCCGAGCACTGGGAGAGGGCGACCTGGGGGGGGCCCCCAGCAGCGAGAGCAGCCCCTTGCTCCATGGGAACCCTGCCTAGAGCCCCCCCACCCCGACATGGGGAAGGGGGGTGGGGGGGGGCCACGGTGGTGGCGATGGGGGGGGCACGGTGGCCCCGGTCTTGCTGCCATCACCATTAAAGGCTCAGCTCAGCCCGTGCCTCCGCCTGGTTTTGGGTCTGGGGTGGGGGGGGCCCCATTGGCACAACCGGTGCCCGTCACCATCGGCTTTATTACTGCGAAAGGCACTGAAATGGGGGGGTAATAAATAGGGGGGTCCCAGCCACCGCACACAAACGGGGGACCTGGCAAAGCCCCCCAGCACCCTCATATGGCACCCGTAGGCTCTGGGTGAGGGGGGGGGACACAAATGGATTGGGAGGGGGTTGGTCCTTGACCCCCCCCCCCTCGGCCCCCTCAAGCCTCTGGGGTCCCCTTCTTGATGCCGAAGAAGCCGGAGGAGCGGGATGGGGGGGCCATGAGCATCAGCGCCTGGTTCTTGTGGGTGATCTTGATCTGCAAGACAAAGAATGGGGGTGTCCGGGGGGGGCACCCCAAACCCCCCCTATATACACATGGGGGGGGGGGTTGGTCCACGTACAGTGCAGGGCGGCTGCATCCAGGGCTCTCCATCAATCTGCATGGGCAGCGGCTTCGATGTCCTATGGAGAGACCCCAACATCCATCACCCCCCCCCCGCCTTTACCCCTCGGAGGGCCCCATAGGGCCCCAGCCCGGCCCCACTGACCGCAGGGTGAGCTCGGAGCACGTCGCCAGCCGCTTCCCAGCGCTCTTGAGCCCCGCGTAGATCTGCCCCATATCCAGGACCCCGTCCAGCCCCACCACCTCCAGCCGCCGGTCGCTCAGGTCTAAAGGGGGGGGGACCCCAAAAACAGAGCGAAATAGGCAGGATCGAGGGGGGGCAACGTTGGGGGGGGGTCAGGAAGGGTAAAGGGGACCCCACGTACCCTGCACGCAGGTCTTGAGGGTCTCGCTGTCGGTGATGGCCGGGGGGGGCTCAGCGCCCGTCGCGGCCCCCCCCCCCGCTCCGCGCTTGGTCTCGCCCCAGAGGTTGGAGCCGCCGTGGGTGCTGGGGATGTTGAGCACCGCCAGCCCCTCCAGCGCCGCGCTCAGCTCCAGGGGGGTCCCGCAGCACTGGGGGGGCGGGAGCACCCCAAAAACAGCGCTAAAAACACCCCAAAACAGCCCCAAAACCAGCCCAAAGCAGCCCTAAAACCACCCCAAAACACACCCCAAATCCGATCCCAGAAACACCGCTAAAAACATCCCAAAACCGCTCAAAACAGCCCCAAAACACTCCAAAACAGCCCTAAAACCACCCCAAAACACACCCCAAACCCGACCCCAAAAACACCGCTAAAAACATCCCAAAACCACCCCAAACCAGCCCTAAAACCACCCCAAACCATCCACAAACACACCCTAAACCACCCAAACCTACCCCAAAACCACCCCAACCCCCAAAACCACCCCAAAACACCCAAACTTACTCCAAAACCCCCACCAAAACCCCCAAAACCCCTCAAACCCACTCCCAAAACCACCCCTAAAAACACCCCAAACCACCCCAAACCCACTCTTAACCAGCCCCAAAACCACTCAAAACAGCCCCAAAACCACCCCAAAACCACTCAAAACAGCCCCCAAAACACCCCAAAACCACTCAGAACAGCCCTAAACCCTCCTCTAAAAGCCCACCCCTAAAACCCCACCCCAAACACCCCAAAACCAGCTCCAACCCCCCCACGCCCCCCTCACCTCCACGCTCACGCACTCCTTGAGCCTCTTGCAGCTGGCGAAGATGGACTCGGAGGTGGCGAATTCCAGGTACCAGAGTTTGTTCTTCATCCTGGGGAGCAATGGGATGGGATGGGGGCAGGAATGGGATGTGGGGAGGCAGGAATGGGATGGGGGGGCAGGAATGGGATGGGGGCAGGAATGGGATGGGTGCAGGCATGGGATTTGGGGGACAGGAATGAAATGGGGGGGCAATGGGATGGGGGGCAGGAATGGGATTGGGGGGCAGGAATGGGATGGGGGGGCAGGAATGGGATGTGGGGAGGCAGGAATGGGATGGGGGGGCAGGAATGGGATGGGGGGGCAATGGGAAGGGGGGCAGGAATGGGGTGGGGGGGTTAATAAATGGGATGGGGGAGCAATAAATGGGGGCCTCCAGGGTGTTCCCATCCCCTGTACCTGCTGTTGAACTTCTCCGGGTGCCTCTCCCGCATGACGTGGAAGCGATGGGCGATGGAGGCATCCTGGGGGGGACGGGGGGGTTCGGGCTTGGGAGGGATGCTCTAGGGGTGCTTTTGGGGTGGATTCGGGGCGTTTTGGGGTGGGGTTTTGGTGTTTTAGGGGTGGTTTGGGTGGGTTTTTTGGTGTTTTTAGGGGTTTTTTGGGTGTTTTTAGGGGTGTTTTTAGGGGTGCTTTGGGGTGGTTTTGGGGTGTTTTTTTTGTGGTTTAGGGGCGTTTTTAGGGTGGTTTGGGGGGTACTTTAGGGGTGTTTTCGGGCATTTTTTGTGTTTTAGGGGTGTTTTCAGGGTGTTTCTAGGTGTGTTTTGGGGGTGATTTTAGGGGTGGTTCAGGGTGTTTTGAGGAGTGTTTTGGGGCTGTTTTGAGGCTGTTTTGCAGTGTTTCGGGGCAGTTTTGGGGCTGTTTTGCGGTGTTTCAGGCTGTTTGGGGGCTATTTTGTGGTGTTTTGGGGCTGTTTTGCGGTGTTTTTTGAGGGTGTTTCGGGACTGTTTTGGGGCTGTTTTGGGGCTATTTTACGGTATTTCGGGGCAGTTCCCCCCCCCCCGTCCCCACGCACCACCCCCACGGAGAAGTAGTTGTTGATGATCTCGTAGGGCACCGGATCCCCCTCGGCCGCCGGGTCCCGGGGCAGGACCTGCACCCGCCAGCGGTCCATGGGCACGGCGCTGCCGCCCTCCAGCTCCCGCAGGACCCGCACCAGGTCCTCCCCCGAGTACCCTGCAAAGGGGGGGGGGCACCGGGATGGATGGGGGGGGCCTTGGGGTGTCCCCCCCCCCCTTCCACCCCTTTTACCCCACTCACCCCCCCCCCAGCGCAGGCATCGGGCCAGGTCGTTGCCGGTGCCCAGGGGCAGGACGGCCACCGGGGGCCGATGGGGCAGGTTGGCTTTGTCTGCAATAGAACGGGGGTCAATGGGGGTTTGGGGGGGGGGGTGTTTATGGGGGGGGGGCAGCACCCACCGATGGCATCCAGCACCCAGCCCACGGTGCCGTCGCCTCCGCACACCAGGATGCGGCAGTCGGGAACGTCCCGGAAGAAGGTGAGGCTGGGATGGGGAAAGGGGGGGTCAGGGATGGATTTGGGGTTAAGGATTGGGGGGGGTCCGGACAATGAGGGGGGGGTCCGGATACGAAAGCGCTCACCCGGGGCCGGGCCCCCCCTGCAGCAGGTTATAAACCTGCCGGGGGTTGAGCAGATACTGGAGCTTGCGCAGGACCCTGGGGGCAGAATGGAGTTAATGGGGGGGGGGGCAAGAAACGCCCCATAACCCCCCCCATAACCCCCCTCCCCAAACCCCCCCCTTACCTCTCCCCCTGCTTCCCCCCACTCTTGGGGTTGACAAAGACGAGCAGCGGGTGGGTGCCGGGCACGGGGCTGACCTGTAGGAAGGGGGGGTTATGATGGGGGGGACACACACATGGGGGGGGATATGTGGGGACATGGGGGGGGTCCCCTCTCACCCGCAGTGGCTGCCCCTCGGCGGTGCTGAAGCCCTGCGGGGTCCCCTCTCCCGGTGTGGCGCTGTCCTGGCGCTCCTGGGGACACCCGGGTGAGGGGGGGGGGCACTAGGACCCAACCTGCCCCACACCCCACACCCCCCCCCCATGGAACCCCACTGACCAGCAGCACGGGGCAGATGGAGGCGGGGGGCAGGATGTGGTCCCGCAGGACCCCGCAGTCACAGGTGGGGGGCACGAGGGGCCGGCATTCCTCATGGATCTGGGGGGCAGAGAGGGATGAGGTGGGGGGGGACATGAGGGGGTACATGGGGGGGAGACATGGGGGGACCCCCCCCCTCCGGTGTCACCCACCTTGGTGTGGCACCACACACAGCGCAGCCCCGTCAGGCTCTGGAAGCTCTTGATCCTCTTCTGGCATTGGCTGCACTTGGAGGCATCGCAGCCGCCCGGTACCCAGACATGGGCCTGGACCTGGGCATGGCCCCCCCCAGTCACCCCCTGGTGCCCCCCAGCACCCGTTGGCACCCTGCGTCACCCCTGTGATGGGGGTTCGGGGCCTTGGCCGCTGCACGGCCTCTGGGTGGGGTGTGTGGACAGGAGGAGAAAGGTAGAGATGGACACACTGCTTGACATGGGAATGGATGGACAAACGGATGATGGATGGATGGATGATGGATGGATGATGGAGGGATGAAGGATGGATGGATGGATGATGGATGGATGGATGGATGGATGGATGGATGATGGATGGATGGATGGATAGATGAAGGATGAATGGATGCTGGATGGATGATGGATGGACGGACAACAGCCACACGGATGAGCCAACAGGTGGACACACAGACAGACACTTGGACACTTGGACACACGGGCGAGGCCCCGGCCACTCACCCCGGCCTCCCTGTGGGACTTGGCGTAGGTGCTGATGCAGCTTTGGGGGGCGCGGCGGGCGCAGCGCTCGTGCACCGTGAACCGGCACACTGGGAATGGGAATGGGGATGGGGATTGGGGGGGGAGCAGCCCCACAACAGGAGCCTCCTGCAGCAGCTGGAGCTGGAGCCTCCCCCTGCCCTGCTCCCAGCACCGCATCCCTGCCCCATCCCCACTTCATCCTCCCAACCCCTGTCTCCATCCCACTGCCATCCCCATCCCACTTCTGTCCCCATCCCCTCTGCATTGTCCTGATCCCTGTTCCATCCCCATCCCATCATTATCCCTGTCCTTGTCTGACCTCCATCCCAGTCCCCACCACATCCCCATCCCCATCCCAGTCCAACCATCATCTTGGTCCCCACCACATCCCCATCCCCATCCC